ATGGAAAAATAGACAAAATTAACATGCATACACAAATAATATTCGATAGTATTCAGACTAAATATTGATTGGTTTTATTATTCCTGTATTATACATATTACATAGCATACATATTCCTTTCATATGATAATAATAAATTAATGTTCAACAAAGAACTAAAATGTACAAGTGTCATAAAAATAAATTTTACTTTATCGGAATGTTCATATTCTTACAATGTTTGTTTTTCCATAAAATTTTCAATGTACACGGATATGTGTACCTAAACGTTTAATTCACATTCCAACCATATAGTTTTATTTATAATTGAATTTTATAGACATGACTCGATATATTTATGACAAACATTATTCTTCCAATCCTGATCATTCTGTTGTGAGATCCCTGTTGGTCTGTAAGAAATGTACTTGTAAAAAAGAATGTAATTATTTCTTCAAAGCTATTCCTAATTGCAGTAGTTACTAAAAAAATAAGACAAAGTATAAAGTTTACCCATTCACGAGCCATCATGAGAATTGTAACATTATTCAGTTTTGGTCCAATAAGTGGATTCATTTGTGACATGTAGCAACATAACCAACTGCAAAAATAAATAACAAAATAATAATACATTGTAGGATATATGAATTACAAATATATTAATGTAATTTGTTTGAATTTCGTTGACTTACAATAACCAACACGTAAAGGCTGTCAGCATAAGAATAACCTGAAGAATTCTAGAAAGAAATGCGTGTATGTAAAACAATGGTAATATTCGATAAAAATTGTAATAATTTGCCAAAAATTCATCTTTGTAACACTAATAGCAATCGAAAGACGAAAATATTTGCACAAGTCAGGTGAAATGGAAGAAACAACTTACCCTCGATTGACTCCCTTTGGAACGAAAAAGGGTAAAACGATTCCTACTACTCCCCAAAGTACTGTAAAAAATAATAACGGTAACAACGAAGCTGCCATTTTTCTCTTTAATTAAACAACTTCTTCGTAACTCTTACGAGTAGGCCAAACCCACAAACAGTCAAACTTACTGATACAAATACGAATCACGTGAATACAAATCTCGATTCAGTTCTGTTCAGTGCGATAGATCGCGTGCGTGTATACGCGAGAGGCGCGAGATACAATATTCGATTCTTCGACATAGAGTAGGAGGGAACCTTGGGTAGTTGTACAAAATCTATTCCTCGTTTTATTTATAGAAATATATTATTTAATTTGTTAGCAAACATCTTAAGGCAATTTATTATAATAATTGAAATGTAAATAACTAAATTTCACATTTCTTTGTAAACGGAAGCACTGAAACTTCAACGTTTCTATAGATTAACGTTTCATCGCAAATTCATAAATAAATGCTTAATCTCCGAACAATCGTTTCTGCGTTACTTCAGTACTGTGTTCTAATCTTTGACCGTCATTATAATTCTTCGACACTTCCACGATCGACGGAGCGTCTCCGCCGCCAATCGATGAACATTGATCCATTTTATGAGCTATTATTCCAGGCTGGGTTTGCATGCATTGAACCAATGGTTCCGTCAGGTGTGTAACAGACTTTTTATTCGATGAATCAGGCGTGTTACTTTGCGATTTTTCATGCTTAGATTTTGACGTACTCGCATTTAAAGTTGTGCAGGAGGTAACGAACTTCTCTAGAATATCTGAAAGTTTACTGTATCAACGATTGATGGCTGATTTTAAATTGACACTCTGTCTTTGTCCTACACGTTACCTGTTAAATTCATACTTTCTTCGGACAAGTAAGTATCTTCCTGAGAACTCATGCTGTCTCTACTGAAAAGATGCTGCCTGATATTGGTCAGGTTTCTGGATTCTAATCTAATGTCGACCGAGGATTGATCGACAGGGTCAGGTTTACGCGGAGTTTTATACATGACTGAACGCTCTGTGCGCATTTCACGTCCTTTCTTAATGTACGGTATCAAACACGACAAATTCTGTTCTGTTCTGGAAACACTATTCGCCGTTTGTATGGACAAGGGCGATTTGTAATTGTTCACTGTAACGATACGCATTATAAATTATAACGATTCTAAATTACTCGAATAATTCATCTGGGTATAATCACCTGTATACGGTGTCCTTATGTAAGTTAAAGGTTTCTGGTGATGACCGTAGCATGATCCGTAAATCGTAGACGCTAATCGACTGCTCACGTCTAACAATACAAAAGCCATATAAAAAAGACGTACGCAATGACGAAGTCATTGTTATAAAGTTAAATACCATGAATAGAATCTCCTTGACCTTTCCCATTTTTTCCATAATTCGTATTCATTAGTGACGTATTATTCATAATGCCAACTAACGCGGGATGCAATCTTTTCACCACGTTTAAAATCAGTTCGCATCGTTTAATCACGCGTAATTGTTGTGGTTCCGTAGCATTGTCTGTTAAGAGTTTTTTTGAAGCAGCATCGGCTTCACATATTGCTTGAAAGAAAAAAAACGATTGTAAGTAAAATTCGTGTTCCATTTACAAAAGCGATTAAAGGTCGCTTACCAGCTTTAAGTTCTCTAACCATCATTATCGTTTGTTTTTCGATTATGTCGCTGCCAATATCATTTATAGTCGTACTAATTTGTCGCGACAACGACAAAGATCTGAGCACAACGCTTTGTACTTGTGTTTGTGTGACGGGTTCTCTGTTATCGAGGCAATTGGACATTATCGAGATACGTTCTTGAAGATCGTCTAAGACTACCTAAGTAGTAAACATACTTAGTTATGCTCATATTAAGTTTATATATAAAATAATAACATATAAAGCACCACGTGAAGTACCTCACAGTAGGCCGCCGAATCCATAATCAAATTTATAGCATCTTGCAACTTATTCGCTTCCAGTTGCCATTGCACGGTCAAGAGTTTTACATTCGCGCGCATTTCTTTGCTCTCTGGATGTAAATAGAAAGTAGTGATGGCAGTAATCAATTCTGTCTCCAAGGATTCGAGACTCGCCAGACAATTTCGAATTTGATTGATTCCTGAAATCATTTATTATTCCTAATAATGAGTTTTCATGATTATAGAGATTAACTTACGATTTCTATCCTTGCAAGAAGCAACAGCGAACAGTCCAATTTGCATGGACTTGTCTATAACCTGATCAAATTCTTCTATAGCGTTAGACAAATCGCTCTTGGATCGATTTTTGGCGGTCAATGAATTGCCACATATAGTAACAAGTTTTCTCAAGGCATTGAAAGGATCACTGAACACTTCCATAACGAGATTCAGTACCGATACGTTAATCTTACGTTCTAATCGATAAAGGGCGTCATTTAAACTATTCATGAACAAATTATTCAATGCCGAATCGGAGGATTCGGTCGTCAGTTGGTACTTTAAGTTTTCATATTCTGATATAATAGATTGGCAGGTTCCGGTGATCGCTTTAAAGTTACAAGGTTTGCACACTTGCGCGATCGCCATCGCGTAGGAGAACACGTCTTCTATTCGCAACCATAACTGTTCGCATTCCGGTATTAGCTCTTCCTGGGATTTATTTGGCATGTCCAACAAAATGTCCAGCACCAAATCCATTCTACATGCAAACAAATTTGAACTAAATATTGAAGTTCAAACATCAACCGAAAGTTGAAATTGAAGAGCTGCAAGATTCTTTACCTATAAACAAAATGATTCTCCCTCTCGGATATTTCATCCTCGGGTAACGGATCTGGTACATCCAGTACCTCTATTATCATCTTCAAGCAGAAACAGAGTCTTTCACAGACATATTTCTTACAATTCTACGCGAATAAAAGCGTAAACATCCGATTAGAAGAAACTTGTGTGTATTTTTTAAATGTAGATATCAAAATGTTTTATTACATAAATGTGTGCATTAAGTTGATGCTGCTCTTGTACCAACTGCACTAGCAGTTTGAAGGCTGTGCATAACTGGCATGAATACAATGTTATCTTCTCTGCAAGCACATGAGACGTTAAACTTTTTCTATATATTTGTAATGGTCCAAGCAATTCTAAAATGGATGTGCCCAACTCCTGAAGATGGTAAAATTCATTTAAAGCGTTTAATCATATAAAAAAAAAAAAATATTTCAAGTCTCTACTTTCTTTACCTTTATATTTTGATAGTGTTCAATTTCATTGGCTTGACCCATTTCATAGATATAATCCATGCAATCCATTAGTCTTTGCTTCAATGGCAAACACTCCAATTTCTCCAAAGCTTCAAGAGCTAATTTAAATTTCTCAAGCACATTGAATAGAATCTGTTCAGCGAGTTGCTTGTCAACATTTTTAATCTGTAACATATTTGTGAATGAAGATCTGTAAATACAATCAATTTATATTTTGTTTGGATATACCATCTCATTGACATATTCCAGAGAGCAAAGTTCTTCTACTATATTGGCGATCCTTGACTCCATTTCTTCATAATCATTAATATCTTCTTTTGACAAAGCCTCAAACTTCTCTCCCAAACATTCCAATCGTTCAAATAGAGTCGATTTTTTTGATACAACATCCTTTGTACAAGGAGAATTGTTTTTTATCAATTCTCTTAATTTATTTACCTAAAACGTCAAATGTATCAAAACGATATTATGATAAAAAAACGATAATATTCACGAATTAGAAAATAGTAAAAATTCTGTTACTTGTTCTTCTATAGGTATCAATATTCCTTTTATTTCTTTCGTCTTCACAGGCATTTTTATGTGACTGGTATTACGTAAAATGGAGCAACGATTAACGAAGTCGGCTTCGCAACTCGTGGTTGTTTGTAAACAAAGTGAAAGCAGTAACTGATTGACGTTTAATAACTCATAACAAAGGAAATCGGCGGCGGTTGATCTTTCAAAGCGTTACCTCGCGAAGGTAAGCACGTAAGTATTTTTTTAATCTATAATCAGCGCCACCGGTGGCAAAACGCCCAAGTTTACAGCGGAAATAGATTTCCACCGTTCTGTAAGATGGCGCAACCGGTATCTTTTAATTGTTCTTAATTATTTTTTAATAAACGCATAATTAATACGATCTTGGGTGTATAACACTACAATATATTGTTAAAATATTTATCTTTAGTTAGTAGTAATTATCGACCATTTAGTTAGTGGCACCATCTAGCAGAATCAGTAGAAACTATTTCCACTACAAACTTGGGCATTTTGCCAATGATGACGCCACTGGTACTAAACCCGCTCACTGAGCGGCTCAATGAGCGGTGACCTTTCTGGGAGCACCCTTTGTACACATTCTCTGCGCTTGTCGCCTTGTCGCCATTCGTAAACTCATTCGTGTCATGTATACGATTTAAATGGAAAAAGAACCGCTTTAATAATATCGACGGTCGAGCAGTTGGTTGCGGTGACCCAATTAGATAATTTGCAACTCGATTAGAGAAAGGACACGTTTGTGTATATAGATCATTTATACATGTTACGCATTCATGTTACATGGACACCTTTGTAGGTACGAAATGTGAAGTGCGCCATGCTTTCCAACTGTGTTAATTTTTAATTTTCGCATATCATGCATTTATCAATCATTGTTTTTTTTTTGGAAGAAATCATGCGTCCTCGTGTTTGCTAAAAGTCCCAAAGTTCAGACATCTCCTTGTGAAGGTTCGACGAGTACCCTTTGTAACTCTTACGTGATCGCGCGATAGATTTTGGAGTGTCATTTTTTTTTTAGAGATCTTTTTCGTTTTTCTGTACGTTCAGAATTTAGTAATCTTCAGAATTACTGTTAAGCTTTATAGAAGTAATTTGGCTAATGAGATTTGGTAATCCCTTTTAAAAAGCGGTCAGTAGTCGCCGTGAAGAAAGGGTTATGTAATTTCTCGAATATCTCGAACGAAAGGTTGTATCTGTGTGGAATTTTTCACCGCGATGAATTGGTACAATTAAATTGATAAACGGGTATCAAAATTATATTTTTTCTCATTCAGAAATGTGTTAAACAATTTTATTTTTATTTTTACTCAACTCGTACGAACGTTCTTTTATAGACTACTTATGAGCAAATTTTTGGTACTCGATTTTTTATTTCTCCGAATTAATTTCTGCGGAAATATCAACTTTTCTTTTCGTTTAATCGTACATTTAAAACACGAATAAAGATTTTATCAATAAGAGTATTCTCTTTATGTCTGTTTGGTTTGCTTTCAGATCAAAGGGCGAGAGTTAAATTGACAGAGTAGTCTCTGTATATGGTCATTTTTATATTCAGCAGGGCTGGTCCGTGCATCATAACTTTGTTCCTTTAATAGGACGAATCGTGTAAGTCAGAAGGATGGTTAGACGTTACGAAAACTGCACAACTTTTCAATTCAATTGGAATCAAGTTGTGCAAGGATTCTGGCAAAGATACCCAAATCCTAATAGGCAAGTATAGATTAATCCATTATTCATCTATTTATTACAAGGAACATTTAACTTTTAATTGCTATCTGTACCAGTTAATAAACTACCAAATTTTTTTTAGTGGCCATGTTCTTTCTGAGGACACTATAAAGAGGGAAGTTAAAAATGGAGTCCTATATACCACGCGATTATTAACAAAGACAAATAGGATACCTAAAGGGGCAGAGAGATTTGTCAATAAAAATACTGTTAAGATTGTTGAAGAAAGCATTGTAGATCCCAAAGCCAAGACTTTGACAACATATACAAGAAATTTAGGTTATACTAAAATTATGGTAAGATTACTTTATAATATGTTCCTTATATGTGTATTTGTTAAAAGCATTGGTACTTATGTGTTTCTCTTTTTTTGTAGAGTGTTGTGGAGAAAGTTGTCTACAAGATTAGCGACGATAATCCTAATTGGACAGTAGCACAGAGATTAGCATGGATAGACAGCAGCGTGTTTGGCTTTAGTAAAGCTATTCAAGCAATTGGAATCGATAGATTTAAGAAGAATTGCAATTTAATGTACAATGGCTTCAATTATGTTCTGGCACATATGTTTCCACATACGGCGCAGTATATGAATCCGACGCTAGCTCAAATGGGGTTCGCTCATCGTGTAAGTGCAGATGTTTTTGGAAAAGTGTTGTATAGAAGTTTGAGTGTTTTTGTTATTTTAGCATGACGAAGGTATAAGATCCACTCTGGCAGAGGATTTCCAACAATCCTTCCAAGGTAAGGCAGAGAAAGTGAAGGATGCTGCAAAGAAAGCTACAGATTTGGCGAAGAAGAAGGCTGGACCGCTTTATGCGGCTTGCCAACCACAGCAATCGTAAATAACCTCATGGGCTTACAGTCACTTCACAAGGATATACAAAAAGTATTTTGTTGATAAATAAGGGTACTTTGAAGGAGCTTCGAACATAGTTGAGGTTTTCAGCGGTCTTGAACGATAGGACTTTTGCGAACAATTATTTCGTTCGCGTAATGAGTAGAGTTGACACGACGAAATCATTAATAAGGATAATTAATGTTTGAAGTCCATTTACAAGTTCGGATACCCATACAATCTTGCATCCGTAATGTAAGAACTGCAGCAAATTGTCGCGTGAAGATTTCTAATGATAGTACTAGATATTGTATTACATTACCATTCCTTTTAACTGCCAATCTATGTTTAATTATTAAGAGGCGCGTAATGTATGAGAGTAACAGATTTAAAAGATCACGTTTTCTACGATGACAATGAAAATTGGATGTATAGGTGTTACATCCAAACATTTCATTTTTAGTGTATCCTACTTCAGTCGCATTTGCTTAGTTAACTCCACAGCACGAAGAGTGGAAAGAGTTGAATGCAAATGATGGACGTTATCGTGTGAAATATCCGAGAGCTAGCCAAGTGTAATTTTCTTGAAAATTTGAACAAATTTAAATTTACTAGAATCGATCGTGATTCTTTTTGAACGAATATTAGAGATCAAAAGGGAAGTACACGAGATACGATGTGCATTTTTTCTTCTGACACGATTCAACCACGCCATTAACGGTTTGTATCGGTATTCGATGCTTGGTACTTTATGACAATTGTGAAATTTAAATTTTCATACAACAACGAGTAATTAATGCAAATCTTAGGGTTGGGGTTAGGTACAAGTTAAACAGAAGTAATTTCTGCAGTCCTTGTACATGTATATAGTAAAAATTTGTATAAACAATTACAGAGAATCTATGTTGTGCGAAATTGTAATATAATAGTGTCTAATTTTAGTATCGGAATTGCCCGCTAATCGTGCAAGAATAGACAGAGGATGTACTAGAATCTAGAATATCCAAATACAATACATTAATCAGAAAAAACAAAATTACGTATTTATTATTGCCACTTTGTCTCGGTCAGGGCTGGCTCAAGGATATTTGGCGCCCTTACGCTATATCGATTAATGGCATCCCCTTCCTCTCCATAAAACAAATATCCGTTTTTTTTTATATATAATAATAAAATTCCGAATTAAACAATTATGATTTTTATGAAAATACAATCACAGATTCAGGATAGTATTAACAAAGTTAAATCGTTTAAAAAAGATGAATCTTAAGCTAGAAAACTAGTATCTAAAAAATAGTAGATCACTTTTAGCGATAGGATCATTTAATTATTAACTAATTAGTGTTCTCGTACATTAATCAAATTTTATCTCTGATATACTTTCACTGTCGAGTGTTTACTCTTTAATCTTTTTAACAATTAGTCATCCTCTACATGTCTATACACTTTAACGACTGGTTCTTGCACCAATATTTTGTTATATATTAGATATAAATAATTGTCCAAAATCTTTGTTATTAATATTTCTAAAATGTATCCTCACCTTAATAAAAGATACAAATTCGGAGTATTCCAAGCGTTTTTTACTTCATTCCACACTTGAGCTTTCCCTGTTACTGTTTGTCTTTTATTAGTTATGAGAAAGTTTCATCTAGATAATTATTTTGCCATCTTTGATAGTAAGATGCAAGTCTATCTGCGACGACCTTGATCCTGCACACTCGACCAAAGCGGGATTTCCATTTTACACGCGCTACACAAATGCGCGCGTTCAGAAGTTTTCTACATACGCACACGTATTGGCGTGTGACTCGTATTCGCGAGTGGCCAAAGTAAATACAAAAGTGGACTCGAGAAGCGGAAAATAAACCTGTTCAACATTCCTTTATGTGGATTCCCCCGTGACTGGTCAGACGTATCTCGTCTATATAAGCAAACGCGAAGCACCCTTTCCGCCCATTGCAGTCTCAGTTTCTCAGCGGATTAAACTCAGAGAGATTTAATAAAAATGTGGGCACTTTATCTAGCGTTGGGTGAGTGTCGCGCTTTGCGATGAGAGTATTATTTAAATCAGCGTTCATAAATAAATTAATTTTTAACTCTGATGTCGTTACTGACTCTGTTCCTTCAATTGCAGTTGTGTTAAGCGGAAGCACAATAGCATTTCCACAGACGGACAATGGTTTTGTTTTCGACGGTCCCGTGTCGCGACCTTCCACAACCATGAGGTCCTCCACAGCTGCAGATCCCATGGTTACGACAACATCCACGAGCGCACCTACGACAACGGCAACCCCAGATCCTCAACTTCAAGCATGCATCAGGACGTGTCCTGTGAGTGCGAATTTCCTTTTTACCGTTTCATCTTACCTACCGATAGGAGTAAAAGAAAGACACATTTACTTTTCTTATTATAAATTGTCACACTTTACGTGGATCAGCCTGTAATACCGGTTTCTTGGGTCGTACGGATTCCTAACGTATCGATAGTCAAGTTTATCGCGCTAGTTCAAAGTTCGTGGTGTGGAAGATAGTCTAGTGAACGATGACACAAATTTATTAATTGTCGTGGACTTAGAATAGGTCACCAAAATAACTTGTTTGCTTACCCCATTAAGCGAGATTCATAAAAAGTAAATGAGTTATTTGGATGACTTGTTTTATGTGGCTCATCATCACGAAAAGAATTCATGATTTTTACAGACGACGCCAGAATATAATCCGGTTTGCGGAACGGACCGTGTGACGTACGATAATCCTGGACTGATGAGTTGCGCGGCCTTCTGCGGCAAAGGTGCGTAGATGACTATACATTTATTCAAGTTTGACACTTAGCACTTTTGGTGTTTCCTCTATATGCTTTGACCATCGTATCTCACGAATTGGTTTTGTGCTTCCAGACGTCACGCGCAGCTATTACGGACCCTGCACATCTTCACCCGCTAGAGGATAATCCTTCGTTGGTTGGTCAGACTAGAGTCTGGTTGTATATTCCTTCACCGTGCCGTTGCGAATAAATAAACATGTAGATAACAATAATCTTTATAAGTGATTTATTTTTATAAATCTAGTCTAAACATCAACTTAGTTTTGTAAATCTCTTTCATATTGAAAATTCAAAGTCGAAACAAATATATAAACTATTGTAGAGATGGCGGTATAGAAGCGTTAGTATTCATTCTCGCGACCAAGTGTACTCTTTCTCTATAAGATGTACCGAACAGGTCAGTCGGTCTGATGGAATCACAACGTACGGCAGATTGGGGATAGCCATTGTTACTGCATGTCATGTAAATACATCGTATATTACATTGTTACGCCTGTAGCTTTTAGTCGCAACCAAAGATTGTCGACTAGAGACAAGGCTGTGATTACAAAGGCAAGATAATGCTCCTCGGATGACAGCAGGTTAACCAAGGGACGAGGAGGAACCATTGTCGGCCCATCTGACTCTTCGCACAACTTCGAAGTTGCCTCCGTGAACGCCGTAGAGATGCCTGGCTAGAACGCTGGCTCTGTCCTCTTCCGCTCGTATGGCAGTTCTTCTGTACTGGGCGACCGCTAACAGGCAGCCGACGATTAGTACAATTTGAACGATCAGCCAGAATATCAGTAGACTTAGAGCGAGACTGGCATCGACGCAAAAAAGCCCGTCTATGGAGGAGTCTGGGAACACAGGAGGCGAATCGTGATTGAACGCATGCACGTGTCCGCGAGGGTCAACATGTAGAGGCGGGCATAAGGGTACAGAGAACTAGGAAGCGTACAATACAGCGGAAAGAAGGAGTTTTCTCTATGATACTTACTTCCACTAGTGATGAACACTGTATCAGGAGATCCGTTTTCCCTCGACGATAAACGATCCGCCGAGGATGCGACAGGACTATGAACGATTATGGAGAGTTGCAATGGAAGTTCTTCGGTGATTTCCCGAGATACTTCCGTCACTTTGGCGTCGTAAGGTGAAGCGTCGGGTAACCCACTTTCACGTTTTCTTCTTCCGTAGGAGACTTGACCAGTTACGCATGTTGTCTATAACATGCAAAGTTAGCGGTCAACTCAGATTGACGCAAGAGAAGCCACTTGTCGACTTACTGGCATGCATTCGTCCAAGCAAAATCGAACGACCACGTTGAATCGAACCAGCTGACTTCCAGGGAACTTGAAGGCATTGAACGTCGTGATCAAAGATCGACCATCGTGTGGATCCTTCGACAAGGGAGGGAAGGTTGCTAAATCTCCGGGACAACCGAACTCGTTCAAAAGCAGCAAGGAGGCATCACCGGAAGCGCTGCTCGCGACTAAGTGTCCCGCGACGATGTCGTAAGGACCTTCAAGTAAAAGATACAAGAAGAGTGGATTGCTGTTGATATCGCCGCGATGATAACTCGTTATTGAGATTACCATTGGGTGGATTCAGTTGAATCTTCACGGTGAGTTTCTGTCCCACGTGGGTGACGACTGCATCCTTTGAGTTTTCATCCAAGATTCTCATGGTAACCTTTGGAGCTTGCGAGGATGCGTTCACGATGGTCGAGGATATCGGTGGCACTCCTGCGCTGAACACATAGAAGACGAGCGAACAAGTCGCGTGGAATCGAGATAGAAAGAAATAGAAATGGGGAGTATTGTGAGGAGCTACGAAGAATGGCTGTGAGTGGTATTCAGTGTGTAAGAGGAATTCAATGAATTCCATTCATGTGCATTCTCTTTAGCTCCCTAGTATATGTGTTCCTACTTTGGATCAAGAAAGCTGAAACTCGAATGAACGGTGATGTTCCTCGGTTCTGGTGGTTCGTGATCGTTCAACGAGCACCCAACTCTGACCGCCTGATCGCCCAGTCGTTGAACGATGGGGTTGAACTGCACCACGACAGTCGTCCAAACGAGCGGCCGTGTTCTACAACATCAATATCGTCGATTTTTATCCTTATTTTCTTTAGTCTACGTTAAGCTTTTTACCGATTTTGATCGTCAATGGAAAAAGCCGGATTTAGGCCGCATTGTGGCATGATCTCGCGTAGCTGATCGGCACGGGGCAGCGGTAATGTCAGTATCGTTCTATTCAAGCCGTGCCCCTGAACACCGCAAGTTTCTGCGTAGCCGTTTGTGTAAATTCGACCAAAGAATGCGTCGCTTGTCCTCAGCTCTACCGTCATTATCGTATCGTTACATTGCACCCTCACTGGAACATGGATTTTTCTTTATGTGCAAGGATTCTACAACAATGCGTTTCTCTGTTGGTAAAGCAGATGGCTTTACTGGTAATAGGTAATACTTAAGTACTTTATCGATAAATTTTGCGGCCAACAGAGGTATTGCTATTACGATGGCTCTTATTAATTGCGGTACGATACTCACGATCCAAACACGGTTCTCGCTCTCTGTAAACGGCATTTGCAACGGTGATTAGCGAGCTAACACCCAGCCCGATCGTGTCTTCGGAGTGCAACAGGCATACCGACTCGCCGGAGGAATTGTCCAGGGTATATCCACGGCAGACGAAACCGTCCACGCTCAGGTCGCATCTTCTCTCGCACTGAATTCAACCGACACGGATCGATGTTGCTGCGTGGCCGCTCTTGCGAATAGAGACGAGATTCGTTCTTACCTGCTTCTCGTTCAGCTTGCTCAGAGCGACGTCCGAGAACGGTAACGTCGCGTTTCGAATTTCCGCGTAAGAGCAGTACTCGCGTTTCGCTGAAAAAGAAATTGAAACGGAACGAAATACCAATAGCCATTTTCATAGACGATTTTAGCGAGCCTGGACAAATTGAAATTTCTTATACTCACACACGTTCCGACACTGGTCACGAAGGTACTCGTCCCTATACATGGAAGCCCTGTAGGCCTGAGGTCTGGTTCCTCGCTCGAGCAACGACAGGGTGCATCGGCCGATTGCGTCGTCGGTCGAGAGCGGTTTCGTTGTTCGAAACTGCGCTGATTTGCAGCTTCTTCCTGGGGATCATTTGTCAACATTAAAGGTCGATTCAGATTATACGACACGTACCGGCACCGACACGACAAAACATTAAAACACGCGTTTTAATGAATATTCATACTATTCCCGTTGACGGAACGTTCAAGTCAGTGTCTGTTTAGCGTGAATAGTTCCATTAAAACGCGTGTTTTAATATTTTGTCGTGTCGGTGCCGGTACGTGTCCTTAATTCTTTGTAAAATTATAAAATAAAAAGTTGTACTACCCCTGCTTTAATAGTTCTACGAACTTCCTTAAGTTTAGTAAAGTGTTTGATCGTAAACCTAGCATTCTCGTTATGTATCTCTACATGTATATCACGAAAATAACGTATTTCCGCAATTAGTTCTGTGACGTGTCGATCGATGAACCAGATTATGCCTACCTATCTCTATGCATTTTTCGTAGCATTGGTTCCTGGTCATAGATCGGGGTAAATGAAACGCGCCTGAGTCGATGAACACTGCTCCAGCGTTTCTCTCCACTTGCCAAAGTCTCCTTTGTTTACAGCTCACGGGAACTGATCGAAATTTGAGGTTATGTTAGTGTTGTGAATCGAATTTATACTTGGCGCCGTCGTCGTTACCTTTTACGCAGACACGATGATAGAAGGTTGAGTTGGCTTCCGGTATCAGTTCGTCGTCTTCCGTTTCGACGCTGTAACAGGCGCTTCTGGCAAAATCTACTACGAACGCGGTACAATTTACCCTCTCACATCTGAAATTGAATAAAGAAAAACGGTAACAATAAAGGAATATGGTGGTTCCATCGTGTTTAAATTTCTAGTGACAATAAACAGGCGCTGATAAGAAAGGAGACCATTGAAGTTGGCGATTTACTACTGTTCATTAAATTTGAAATCTATTCAAACTTCAGGTATTCTTTTCAGTTATCCAAATTACGGTTGCACTTTACTTTGGCGGACCTAAAATTTTTAAATTTCTTTTACATAATCCTGTAGATTTTGTCGAGAAAAATCCGGAAATGCTAGTTTTAAGGCGAGAAATCCACTAGTTCACAAGTTATGAGCAGTTAAAAGTGGCATTTTACCGTATTTGACTGACACTTTCAACGCCATTGTCTTGTAGCCATACCCTGTCGGTAAAACAGGTTCTCGGTGGTAGCGGACTACATTGTATACCACTTTTATATTGTTATACCTATTTTTGAAAATTGCCATGTTTCGAATTAACAGAGTTGGTTTAGGCCTATTTTCTCGGGGAGGGTGTGCCGCCCTAGAGTATGAAATTCAACTTTTGAATTGTCTAAAAAATACGGTAAAAAAGGTTCACCTTTAACTGCTCGTAACTTCTGAACCAATGGATTCCTCGCCTGAAAACAGCATTTTCGGATTCCACTCGCCACAATCTACAGGTTTATGTAAAAAAAAACTTAAAAATTTTAGGTCCGCCAAAGTAAAGCTTAACCCGGATTACTCACTTGTCGAAGCAAGGCTTTGTGATCCCATTGGAATTCACGGAGCTAAATAAAAGCGAATGAGAGCCCACAGATTCCGGCCTGACGCCTCCAATCTTTTCCCAAACAGCGTCCGAGCACGTTTCTCGCAATCCTGGAACGAGAATAAACGATCGATCGATCTGCGTCTCATCGTATTGTTTACTGATTGTCCTCACCGGTCGGCGCGACGAAATCGCAAATCGAGATCGCAACGGCGAGACACGCGATTATCAACATGGTCGATTATCGCTTCCCGTCCGCGTGGCCGTCGAGCGACGAGACTGTGCCAAGGATTTTTGCAAACTGTCGTTGTTCGTCCTGTTACACTAGCGATTACGTAACGACGCTGCACCTAACGTCGCGAAATCGACAGAATTGAACTGCCATTCGAAGGCTTTTAAAAATCGCTAAGAGGTTAAGTCGCTACCAGTCGTTTCACTGAATCTCTCGAACTTTACGCTGCTGTCTCTTTTCAATCGATAGGTCTTCGCCTCGCTCTCTCGCTCTCCTCGAACGACGGTCAAAATAAACGCGCCATTCCTGAGAGGTTAAGAAGAAGACTTCGGAGAAGGCACAAAGGATCGTTCCTTCGATCGGTTCTCTAGATCAAAGAAGTCTGCCACGTTAATTACAACGACCAATCAGAGATGATTCGATGGATCACTAATGGAAACCTTGGGTTACAACTTATTCATGACGTTTTGACTGTGTATTGTATATTAAATATGTAATTTTATATTAAATATTCAGATCGTAATTGGTATCGAACGAGTAATGTACGAGAACTTTTATTTCTTGTTAAAATAGGCAGACACGCGATGGCACGACAAAAGGTGTACGAGCGAGTTGCGAATTCGCAAGCAACTGAGGCGTCGCGTAATGTACATAGAACTCTACCTCGTTCACCTGCATCCTCGTAAAAAAACGAATGGGAGCGAACAAGCCCGCGCCCGCGCGCATAACGATGGTCCACGAATAATCACGGTATGGTGTAACGCGTCCGCGAGCGAACGGATGTCGCGTAAACCGAGAATCGCGTCAATCCTGTGCAAGTTGCGCCCCTATTCCAGCGAAACGTCCAATCTCTTACGTAGCGACTCGTTCGACACGAGATACTTGTTCGAGAGATTGTTATTGGCCTAGAACAGAATCACTAATCTCTTTCAATGGACTGGGGGATGTTTGCACTCGCTTGATTTTTCGACAACGCTTGCGAAGTGATCCTCAAAATAATGTAAACAAAGCGTTCACCCAACGGAGAGGTCACTCGAGCTTGTTATGCATGTGCCAAATTATATGTATGTAGTAGCTATAGAACGCGCCACGTGTTGCGAAATTATGCACATATATGGGACCATAGAACTCTGCGAGGGAACGCATCTACGTATGTACTCATAGAAATAAATTTGGAGAGTATCTCTGAATGTATGGATAATCAAATTTTGTCAGTCTTCATAGTCTCCAGTACAAGTCTGCATCCCTTGTATATCGCAGACGTCGAGACGAATTCGAGGTTGCTACGACCTCGAACCCATGGCATCACCTTCACCCGACCTTGAAGGTAACAAATCGACGATACACGCGATCTTTTCTAACGTCTAGTATAATCCTTGTCTTATTCGAGATGGTCCTGGATAGTCGCGAGTATTTACTTTCACGTATTTCAGGATGGACCACTAAGAGCGAGAGTAATTGGAGCATTATCGAAGGGGAAAGAGCGCAGAACGATGAAAGCAGCGGAACGTACGCATTGTCGCGTCGTCGGGACGCTCGTCGACGAAGGCTTGGCCGGTGCTCGCAAAACTGTGACGCGTGAGCCAGGCGGGACGCATGACGCGCGATACGAAACACGCGGGGCTTTTCGCGATGTACCGATGCTTATCTCGCCTCGTCGACTATTTCCGTTGGTTACGCGTTACGCGTTAAGCAGCTCGTATATGCAGACGATTGTCTAATGTTTACAGACAGATTTGATCCATCGTCTTCCTGGTCGATCGTTTCCTCTAAGAAAACTATCGATGAATCTTCTAGGCAAGCCTACAAAACAGTATGTGGACCATTCTGGGACTCATTCGGACCGTTCACTCTCAAAGAAACCAACATTTTTCTTGCTTACTCTGATAGGCATACAAGATGTAACGTTAAGATAAGAGGATTATCCTCGTGCGAGAGCCAGGGCTGCGCGATATGTCCTCAGTCGTTGCCACTGATTTGTATTTAACTAGGTCAGAAGATAAAGTGTTAACCAACACGCGAGTTTGATGTCCTGTCTTTGACGTCGGTATTTTTATTGAGAATGCCACTCTAGTAAACCTATGAATAAGTTTTTCGGTGTGCCTCTACGGGCCATTTTTATACCGATCGATGCGGTTCCTCTCGACAGATTTATGCAAACGATGAGCGAGTGGAAAACGGTCGCGGTGATGCTTCACGGTTACACGCAACAGGAACGCGATGACGTCGATATGGTCGATATGAAACGTCCTTCGGTTTACATAATCGTGATTTTCCATGCGCAATTTTAATAAGTCCATAATTCCAAATATGTAACGGTATTATCTTAACTAGTAGTTAGTAACTACTCGGATGAATCACTTTTAGGTTGTTCTATACCATGGTAGAGGCACGAGAAGATTCCTGAATCAAGCATATAGATGATCCCCGTTTAAATTGGTATCAAAGCATGATTACTTGGTAATCCTGCATCTATTTAACAAGTGAAGCTGTTTATTAATAGGAACGATAGAGGGATTGTTGAGAATCGATAAACGAAAAAGGGAACGCCTTGGTCTCATTCGATACCATTCTTTTTTTTTTTTTTTAAATCAACGACTGGTAATTACTAATTACTGGATGACGAGTCAGAGTCCAAGCTGCTGTCGAAGGTCGTGCGATAAGCGATCGACCGGCAAATCCTTGACGCGTAAAAGTGTACAGTGTTCTCACACTCATCCGTTCCGGGTCATTGCACGTGAAATCGGTCACATTCTAAAGCTACTTCACCATTTTTTCTGGAACTTGAACATGTCATACGCCTTCGACGTTGCTTGAATATATCTCGAGACGTGCAATTCTTCAAGACACCTTAGGATATCTCTTAAAATATTTCCCCTTTTCAGGAAAAGTCACAATTTTGCACCAAAAGGTATTACGCGTGAAATTACCCTTTCAGCTGCATGTTTGCATTTCAACGGGAAAAGCGAAAGCGCAAGAAACCGAGATTCACGAGACAAGGGTTGCGCGTGACCCACATCGGTTATGCAAACGACACGATTGTAAAGTAAATCTCGCGCCCGCATATTTGCAAGCGAGACGACACGGAAACCTGGCCGATTTCTCCTGTTTATCTTCAAATGCCTTTGTGGGTATGTCTCTTTAAATATTTGACAACAAACTACTCGCTCAAAGATAACTTAAGATAAACTTACAACGCATTCGACCCAGTTGCAGGTTTCCTTTAAAAAATACATTTCAAAGGCAATAAGTAGGAGCGATAACATGGTATATTCTAATTCTGTTGCAGTACATTTGACAAATGAAATAAACACATTACAAAAGGTACACTGGACATCGCATTAAATTTATTCGATCGAACAGTTATTCGGATAAATCAATTTTTCCATGATAATTTATTTACTTTTTAGTCTACTGCCGTATGCCAGCGTACGATGTCAAACCAGGACGATTCGGATTATACTTTCCATCGACGAAAGAATGTTTTATTAACGGTTGTTCGTTTATTATTGATCATTCGCAATTCTTTGTTTAACTGGCCGGATGGATGAAGCCGAAGAGCACGAGTAGATCATAAATGGTGTCGAAGCCGTCGATCAACTGGTTAAAGGAGGTTGGTAAAGCCTGCGTTTTTTGTAATTCATCGAGCGTGATGTGCAGCCAAGGGAGCCCTCGAGTGGACATAAAGTGTAGGAACCACCGAATTAGTTCAAATACAACTGCTTGCGCTTCCTGGATAACGTAATCTTGAGCAGAGCTGAACGATTGTTGCAGAGTTTGTATGGGATGCGTCACCGCTGTTAGTAGCAATCTTCGTTGTCTCTCGAAGCTTCCTCCTATTCCTAAGATCGAATTGATCGTTGATTCGATCGTTGAAATGAACCAACGTAGCGTATTTCCTATGGCGGAAAATATACACCGTACGATTTGCGAGACCACATCGGCGACCCTTGTATTAAAGTTGGTGAATTTGTTCGCTGTACCATCGATTATGTTCGTCGAATTCGTTTGGTAGCTGTTGTTATTAGTACCTCCCGCCTGTCTCCCTGAAAACAGTTGGTTACACTTAAAAATTGTCGATCATATACCTTCCTAGGTCAGTGTGAATTTCGTTCAAACTTGTAATTGGATTCTAATTACAATCTAGGCGAGGGACAGACTATTATTGGCTATTAATTGCCCTCTGTTAGTGCATACAGGAAATCCTCACACGACTATTGAGTGCAAGCACCATCTAGTGGTCTACAGACGACCAGGAAACATCTTCAGACAAATTTCAAACAAATCAACTTAAGAAATATGCATATATACTTTATAGCTGATTATTTAAGAGAGAAGCCAGCCTTTATATCAGAGTCATTCCTTTAACGGAAGTTTTCCGATGGATTATTGTTTAGTAGCAAACAGGAATCCACCAGTAATTTTCAATTTCTTTTCCAGACAGATAGGGCTCTTTGAGGTGATGAGAAAGTACCTGACAAAGCTGGCACCGCAACGCTGCAGGGTACATAGCACAGTCCGCAAAGGACCACTGTTACTACGAGGATATATGAAGCCTTCATCGAGAGAGGTGTTCCAAGAGGAATTGTGCGTTGGTCGTCGAGAGTATGCGTAGGCGTACGTGGTGAACCGTTGGCGTTCGCAATGGACTTGAACGTTAAACGCAAACTTTTTAACACGACTTATCGATTGGAATTGGGTATATTATTACCATTTCCACCTCCTCTGGCCGACACGGTTCGTCCTTACGACCGTCGCGAACCGTTGATATCCATGCTAATTTTGGATTTATGTGGTCGTGCGATTGCAAATTTTACGCTGAAAGTTGTTCTAATCAACGCCAGTGGCGCATTGCACTCTCGCAGGGTCCAAGACTTGAGAATTGAGAACTGTTGTATCTCGATTCAGTCATCTCCAGAAATGAAGATTTATACAAAAATGTACATAGATTCAGGGCTTGTTGCTAATTCTCTTTAAAAAAAAAAAAAAAAAAAAATATCGCGAATGATAAAAAGTTAAGCAACGCTGGTTTATATGATACGCCATTGTCTACCACCGTTTAAGTCCAATCGCTAGTTCTCGCGATAAGTTGCAGCACTTGAAAGAAAGCAGGTGACCTGACCGATCGACGTCCAAATCGTTTAATGTTGCTGTTTGGAATTCTTGTTTTGCAAATACAAGAACGCGCGTTTCTGTTTACTTCCTTGTAACGAAACCGTTTTAAATTAATACGTACGCACTCGAATGTCGCGATTTTGTTGAAACTGGAATATGACGTAGTTCACATAAAATTAGAGGAGGTTTAAGTCACTATTTTACTGGATTTAATTTTGTTTAAGAATACCCAGAACATATAACCAGCTAATTAGCGCTTATCGATATATTTTAATCCGTGAAAATACAACGTTTCATATCTTGAAACAGAGATAAATAGATTTGCGCCATTTTCATAATGAACCGTTCGTTTAGTCTCCTTTCTTGTCACGCGATACAGAATTTATCGTTTGACGCTGCGTTTTCATTTTTTTCTGTAAACTTCATCCTCTCTGCTTCGCAGTCCTTTGCCATTCTTTCTCTTCGTTTCATTGTTTGTTGTTTAATTCCTTAGTGCGTGAATTTATTTTAATTTTTAAAAATTATGTCATGGTTCCATATTTTCCTATGTTTGGAAGACGTTCGATCGGGAGACCAACTGTTATTTTCCCGATCGAAATTATAAATAATTCCCGTGGGAAGCGCAATGTACAACCGAGGGCAAGACAATTTCTAATTTTTCTGTACACAATGGAAACCATTCGCAAACATCCCAAGGGGACACGATGCATTGAGTACACGTGAAAGAATTCGCAGTAAAGAGACACGTTCCAGTCGTTCTAAAGTCACAAACAGCTTAAATGTCGTCCTGAAATTAAAAAAAAAAAACACTTAAATGAAACAAAAAGTAAAAGGAAATTTAAGCGAAAAACTAATAGAACAAAACTTTCACTCACATAGCAACCGTAAGCTGCTGACTCTGAATTACATCCCCGATCTTTCCACATCGAATAATAATATCCGACTAACTTGGACCGTATAAACATCGCGGATAAATCATTCCTACTTGCCATCGATTACACGAACGAATTCCTGTTCACATCTGATTCCATCGCGGAGTTTGTTGTGCTTACGCCATTTCGAGTCCGACCAGGCAACTATCGTAAAGCAGAAACAAAGATTATCCGTGCGTTTTATCTGATTCCGAGCCGACATCGAATTTCCCTGACGCGTCACAGTTCTATGATTTCCAGACTTAGCTAATCACGAATATCGACTCGATCCCAGTTGCCATTGTCCAGCTACCGCGAACCTTCGCGAGCCATTAGCGGCGTGAGCGATGTCGGGATTGGAATTTATGGGGTCGTTATGGTTGTTGCTGGTGGTCTGCGTTTTAAGGGACTCGCACAGCCAGCCCATTGTCGCGATGGACGACAATCCTCTGCTGATAAGGCCGCTGAACGTTTATCAGAGCATGATCAAGGGTGTTCACGATTACTTCAATAATACTTGCATCATACTATTTCATGGTTCGATGAATGTGATCGAAACGAAAGGTGAGGAGGATTTATACATTATATCGTTTCGTTGATAAACGTGTCGTGGTTGATTTAACGAGAATGGAACTTTCAGAACTGGAGGACATCGAGGGGCTGCTTGGCCTTCAGAAGTTCCTCAGCGGGGCTCTGAACATACGCACCGCGATCATGGATTTTATCACGTTCAGGGACAAAGTACGTACAACGTCCTATCCACGTGCTGGACAATTATTTGGTATTCTCGTTTTAGGTGGGAAGCACTTATTATAACATTAAGCGGCCGTTGTTCGTGCTGCTGAACGATCTGGATGAAGTCAAGGAACAATTCGTTCTGGTAAGTATTAGGTTGTCCTAAAAGTTTCTTTCGTGAGTTGCATTCAAGTATTTTCTGTGGCAGTTGTTATGTTTATACAAATAGACAATCTAATTTTTTAGACATTGATGCTGTAACAGTAATGAAGCGAAATGAATTGTACACAATTTTGTAATATAACATAAAACATAAAATATTGTGTAGGAATAAATTATTAATAAAACGAAAGAAACTTTTAGAACAACCTAATACATATATTCAAGGTGTCTTAAGGTCAGATCTGAATAGATAAATGAACGAGGCTGGATAAAGTACTCTGATAAGATCATCCTCTAAGTTATATATGCCTCAGGTTTCTCAGTGGATTGCAATGGCGTACCCCACGTGGCTGATCTTTCTAAGGAACGACATCGAGATCGAAGACTTCCTTGGGGAAGTTTACGTTCCTTTCGACTGTGTACTGATGGTCGCACAAGCGAACCCTGAAGGAGGTGGCGAGATCGTCAGAGAGGTCTACCGCATAGGCAGGGAGGACCACTTGAGGTGGATGGACTTTGGCACGTGGAACTCGACACACGGTTTCAAGGGACCTTTAGTAGGACTCTACCAGCGAAGGCACGATCTGAAGGGACGCAACCTCAGGGTCGTTTCTATTCATGTGAGACAAACATGTGTGGTTCAAGGTGTTCGAGAGACAATTTACGACGGCGCGAATCACGCCGGGGTCGCCAGTTTGAAGGGACCAAAGTGAAGGCGTGATAAAACTGCGTTTACTTATTAAAATAACTAATTGTATTCATTTTCAAATATCCCGAGTTGTCCTCGAGCGCTCACCGTGTACGTTTCGATCCTTGGAGAAACGCTCTCTCGACTACACGGGGTATTTAAAAATAAATACAATTAGTTTTTTGCTTTTTCTTTATTATAGTGTCTTATCCTCTTTAATACGTATCTTATCCTCTTTAATACCCTTTCTCGCTACAGATTCATTTAAATTATAATCATTTGCCCTTATATGGGAAATAAACCTGATCGCCTTCCTGCTCAGGATGTGTTTAAATTTATGACTTTAGTTATTTTAATTAGTAAACGCAGTTTTATCACACCGTCACCTTGATCCCTTCACATGGATGTGCAGGACAAATGTTCTTTATCCACCCTTGCTATTAGTGATGCCATTACTGATTCATTATGCCACCCTTGATATTATACTACTGCTACCGCTTGGAAGAACTAAGGGTTCTGTTATTGTTCCTCTACGAACGCGTGTCCTCACAGGATCCTCCAGTCTCACGATTCGTCAAGAACGAGGTCAATCACACGGTTGGGATGGCTGGCTTCTTCGGCGAGGTGATCCAGCTGCTGCAAGAGGGAATGAATTGCACGTCAGTCTTGATCGATTTCATTCATCATTCAATCTAGAAAGTGAAAGAATCGACTTGGTACAAGAGGTTTCGAAGGCTAGAGTTTCCATTCAAAGCACGAAGAAGTGGAATACTTCTCAAGTCGATTCTTTCATTTATTGAATCTACTTGACTCGATATATTAGGGGGACCAGAAAGTAATGTCGCTTCTGCGAATGTCAATACTTCTTTATTATTTATCAGTTCACTGCGCACCAATTGATTTGTATCGATCAGGTATTGAAAATTTGCACATTAGATGACGAAATACTGTTGATGACGAGGACGATTACATAATTGATTAAAAATAGAAACATATTATACATTTATTTGTTTGAATTTAAAGTAAAAGAAACGACATTACTTTCTGATCCCCCTAATAGTTGAATTAGACGTCGCAGTAGATCTGTTGGGTTAGACATAAATAACATCATCGATTCATTTGACGTGATCTAGAACAGTGGCATCGTAGAACTGTAAGTCACCTCGTTACTTCTTCTCCCCATTATCCACCCTTCTAGTCTTTTCCTTAGTCGAGTCCCTGGCGTCGTTCTCCGCTTTCCTCTTGACTCCACGTTCGCGGAGTTCCCTGAGCTGTCTGGTTGTCTCCCTGCGAAAGTATTCATCTTCACTGGCGGCAGCCCTCTCCTCGAATGCGGTCCTTTTCCTGCCGTCGCCGCTTCTTCGAAGTCTCTCGTAAAAGAATCGACGCGTCGTTGCGTCATACCGTCGCAGATATAGCAAGCGTCTTCCTGGGCTAACCGGTTCCAGACATCGCGACGCCAGCCCGCGTAACATAACTTGATTCTTCCGATCCTTCGCTGATCGTTTGGTGGTAGATACCGGTTAGCCAGGCGCGGTGTTTCACGTGTCCTCCATCCTTCGTCCGTCGTCCATTCGGGTACAGTAAATGGACAATCGGTTGAATTGGATCGCGGATAAGTTCAAGTTGCTTGAATGCCCAAGAGTTGGATAGAAAGGGAGAGCGATTCTCCTACTGTTCCATCTCTGGTATTGTTACAAATTATACAAATTAATTTTCATCCGACCTTTCACCGTATGACAGTACGGTCAGCATTACTTTTTTTACTTTAGACTAAATCTCAAAGCTTGCGACAATCGCAGATATTAATTTTCATGCTCGATACTCAATTTCATAGTGCATGCAACTCTGATGCAACAAAGACGTATCATCGATGCAGGTTCAGTTATCAGGAGGCCAACTCGTGGGGCGTGCGGTTACCGAACGGCACGTGGACAGGTTCGATGGGGATGCTGATGGAGGACGAGGCAGACCTCGCGGCCACCGAGCTGATGATGACGTCCGACAGACTGGACATCGTGAAATTCACCACGCCTGTCTACTCGTCCAAGTATATATCAAGATTCGACGACGACCAGAGTTTACTCTTTTAAAACATAGTGTGACAAATCTTCAGTATATTCGGAAAAGCTTTTATTTGTGGAATGAGTAGTGCTTTTGATACAAAGAGTACCTATGTTAGCTAAGGAGGGTGGATTCTCCTATGTCCAGGTGTCGCGTGTATATCAAGAGACCAGACACGACGACGGTCAAATGGAACGCGTACTTGGCTCCGTTCGCTTTGAACGTTTGGAACGCTATCGCGTTGACGATCTTCATCACGGGGATATCGATTGCCACGATCGACGCCATATTTACGAAGGGAGTAGACTCCGACGTGGTGGAATACCGATCATCCTCTTCGACGATCTCCGAGATCGTGTTCTTCGTCTTCGGCGCGTTTTGCGGTCAGGGTGCGTGTAGCCCAGAACTGAAGGGTCCTAAAAGCACAATAATGTATATTTAGATGGGTACAGGTTTATAATTTTACCAGAAGTCCAAGCGAAGAATCCGAGTAGTCTCCCAATACGATGAGTTACGAAATTGGGTTACACTCTAGTGCAGAAAGTCCAAGAGATTTGATCAATTCGATAGGGATGGAGCCGTCCCCGCTGGACCCGATACGGATGGTTCATCTGAGCATCCATGCGACGGCGGTCGTGGTGCTGGCTGCTTATTCGGCCGCGTTGATTAGCTTCCTGGCTATCAAGACGTTCGCCATGCCGTTCACCACGATGGCAGGAATGCTGGAGGACGGTAGCTATCGGTTTGCCGTGGTCGCCGATTCGGCTGATTACAGTTTCTTTCAGGTAGTACGGCCGGGATACAATACATATTAATAAGTGTTACTATCTAATACACTTACTATTTTACAGTATTTCACATAAAATTAATGTTATCAACAAGTTTACAAATTCTAGGATTCGTAAGTTTAGAGACAGATGTGTTGATTTTTTCTTATTTCGTTTGAACATGGCAGAACACCAGCGATCGAGTGCTGACCTTCATGTTCGAGCAGCTGTTGACCGGCGAGAGCGATCTGCCGTCCAATTACCTCGACGGCTTGAGTCGCGTTTGCCAGGAAAATAAGTACGCGTTCATGACATTGGACAATATGGCGGCCGTTCTCCAAGGAAGAGTCGACTGCATCCTGGAGCCGCTAGACGTAATAGCGCAGACCACGATAGCCATGGCAGTGCCTGCGAATAGTCCTTATCGCGGCATCATCGATGCCAAGTAAATAGAATCAATAATTCGTCGACAGACCTGAGCACTTTTCAAATTATTTACTTCATCATTTACTGCTGCTCCTTCGTTTTTAGAATTTTACTACTGCGCGACAGCGGCATTCTTCAGAGGTTACTAGAAATAGAATGGGCCACGGTCTCGAGCAGGGTAATCTATTGGGTTGTCCGGAAAGTTCATGCCTATTTTTAAGAAAAATTCAAAGGCATATTTGAATTTTGGTGTATATTTATTGAATTATACATATATGTACCATTTTGTTCCACAACTTTTCCACTTTCTAAGGAATGTATACATGTCATTTGTTTCCAGCCATTCCGACATATTCAGACCTATGCCGTCTACTAAAAATCGGCATGAACTTTCCAGACAGCCCAATATTTCATAATATAGCGAAGTTTGTTAAAAGAGGAAAGAATGATTTTCAGAGCATAATTTCTACCTATTTCAGCCGACAGCTGGCTGGTCGTCGGTCGAGCTGGAGGATGCGATGCCTCTGCTCATCTTCTTACTTATCGCATTCATAATAACCTGGGTACTGCTACTCGTCGAACGCTCGATTCACGAGAAGCACGATAGAAGCAACGCGATCGACTCAACTAATCCAATATGCAAGGATAAGGAAAATTCTCATCCAAATAAAAAATTTCGAATGAAGAATAAAAGATAAATTAACCCTCAATATGTGTTGTTTAATCAAATTCTTCACATTACAATTAATAACTAGGTGACGCGTTTGTCGGAATGAAAATCATTGTATCCCAAGTCCCTTGCATCTTCTTCCAAATATTTAGGAAGAAATAATAAAATTTCACCATTGTGTCGAAGAAATTACACTTCTAACGGGTTGCACTTGTTATATTTAAAGATCTTGTTACAAGTTCCCAGCCATTGACTCGCTATTACTTGCGACGAAAGATTGTTCGAACTTGTAATATTAATTTGGACGAAAACAATATTAGGTACTTATTTACCATTAAAGTAGTTCTACGTTATCGATGATATGGTGGATAGGTAGGTACCATCATAGAAGTACTATGTTACCGATGGCAAGGTGTTGCTGCAGCGATGCTGACATCTTGTGAAAATCATTGCAGTACTTTACCGACATCGCAACTAAATCGCTTGGTGATCTTTTGTTCATGCACGTGGAGCATGGATCTAACCTCGTTGCACCGTTGACGTTAAAAAGTCGCGAGTATTCCAACATCTATTGAAGTAAATTGGAATAACTAGAATAAACTAATCGTAAACGGTATAGTGGAAAAATGGGTAAATTGGGCCCACGGTTGAATAGTAGGAAAAAGGCAAAACGTTGGCCAAAAGGTCAGAGTGCCAGTTCCAATCCAGAGACGAAAAAACATCGTGAACAGGCAGCATGGATGTTTTTTAAAGATAATTCCGGTTGGTCCTTACTTTATTACCGCCTATACGCAATACTTTCTTGATATCTGTTTTCCAACATTATATTTTACGTCATTTTTTCTTAATCACAGGTAAGCCTGGTCTGACAAAGGCAGATTTACAAAAACACGATGCCATTCAAGGTATAGGGCCTCAATTTGAAAAACTTGATCTAGACGAAGATAACTCTGAGACCTGTACAGAAAGTACAGTTAATACTTTCGATACATTTGCTACCAATTATAGTAATTGTTCGAATGTATCGTTTAATAGGCAAGTAACTAGTTGTATTGCAAGTAGACAGTTTTATTTTAAGCTTGATGAGAACTCTGTAACATTACTTAAACAATAATTTGCAGGTTTTTAAATCACTTTCAATCAAATTCCTTATTACATAAAGAAATGTTAGCTGTGCTATCAGCAGTTACTGAAGTTATAAAGCAGAATAATGGAACTGAATCTTCCACAGAATATTTTGCTGCATTGGTAATGCATAGAATATTGCAAATTTTTATTTCAAGTAAAAGAATACTTGAAAATTTTAAATATTAATGTTTGTTTATTACTAGATGAGCACTTTGGAAGCAATTGAATCTCAGACATCAATTGCAGCTACACTTTCTCTATTGGGTATGGGTTTAAAAACTGTACCCAGAAACATTTTGAATTTACAATTTGGACCTGCTAGTAAAATTTTTCTTGATATCCTTTCGAAACATGTATCATCTGAAGACTTCTTAATACTAAGACATGTAAGCTTATTCAATTTCAAAAACTAAGATACAATATGCAGTCCTGACGATTTTAAATCTGTTTTAGTGTATTCACTGTTTGTCTTTGCTTCTTCGAGCATTAGAGATGGCTGCATGGTCTGACTCTTCTACTATGCAAGTATTAAATGTCCTTTTATCATTCATTACGCACAGTAAACCAAAAGTACGAAAGGCAGCACAACATGGAGTATGTGCCATATTGAAAGGTACATTTTAAATCAAAGATTAAAACATCTGTAATTATAAATAATCATGCTGAAACTTAATTTGATTTCCAACTTGTTAAATAGGAAGCGAGATAATGAAGGGAGACAACCCACCACAGTTTCATCCAGCTGCACCACAAATTGCAAAACATTGTATCAGTCAATTGCAAATTAGTTCAGAGCCTGGTGGTATTACCAGCATTCTCCATGTACTTACACTTATGAAAGATATCACTCATCATTTGCCAAAACAACACGTGAAGGTATTTGTCAATTAAGCGTTAACATTGTTCGTGTATAAACATTGCTTCCATTCTTTTAGACTATTTGCGAATCATTGCTGAAAATTATGACGTTAAAAAATGTTCTGACGACATCGTGTTGTCTACAAGCCTTCCATGGTTTATTTGTTTCCCGACCCTCGCCAGTTATTTTAACACCTCAAAGAAACGCGCAAATCATCGGTGCTCTTTACGATTATCAACCACCAGCGACCGATCCGCAACCCACACTTGCATGGTTAACAGTCATGCAAGAAGCTTATTTAAATTTAGCTAAGTGAGTATAAATTTTATTTTTAAATCCTGTGTAAAGTTTAAAAGTTCGGTCATTCTCTACTTACAGCACTTCACTGAATTTGTGTGCAGCTATTTTACCAAGAATGTTGGATAAATGCATGGAGTTGTGGCTCTCGGACAGATCAGCAGTTATATCTGGCACATCGCATACGATCAAAATTTTATTGCAGGACTGTGTTGGAAAAATGTGTGAAAATGAAGAACTAATAAGAAAGTAAGAATAGATGTAAAGATTGTCTTTCATATATGAAATATCACATATTTAATACCTGGTTATTCTAGATATAGTGTCACAATCGATCAAATAATTCTCATGATGTACAAATCATTGAATTACAAATACTTGGAGGCATGGTATCATATTCTTCATCTAATGGCTTTACTTTTCCAGGTAATATTTCATTTCTATCTTTCGATCTTTACTGATTTCATTTGATTACATTATTGTTTCGTACGATAGGTAACTGGAAAATCGCAAAGCCCGAAATTGTCGGACATATTAATAAGGTTAGCAGATTTACGCGATTCCTACAATTTTACATCTAAAAATGATGTCGAATACGCTATCGGTGCTGCGATAATGGCCATGGGTCCAGAAACAGTACTAAGTTTAATTCCATTGAAAGTACGTTATTGTATGTAATTACTAGTTATAACTATTTTTTATACGTATAATATAAATTTGTATTCTATAGGTATCCAATGATACGATTTACTTGAAGAGAAGTTGGCTGTTGCCCTTATTGAAGGATTGTGTTTCCGGTGGAACACTTCGTTTCTTTGCAGAAACATTACTGCCGCTAGCTACAATATGCGAGTGAGTATTTCATAATATTTTAATTGAAGGAAAAAAGTTATATCTCTGTTAATTCCAGGACGAAAGCGACCGAATCAGTAGGAGGAAAAACCTATGAATTTATGCTTGCCCAAATATGGGCTGTCTTGCCAAGTATATGTCATAATGCTACCGACGTAAAAGAAAATTTTCAGGTATAAATATTTATAAATTAAATTAACCATCCAATTTGTGGGATATTTAAAAATTTATTTTAAAATTGATATTTCTTAGAATATCGCTAAATTGTTGGGAATAACTTTTAACGAAAAAAAAGATTTGAGGTTATCCATTATGTCCGCAATACGAAAGTTAATTACAAGGGCGATCGAAGAAGATAAGAAGGAAGATATAGCGGAAATTGCCAGATTTGCAAAGAATTATTTACCGATGTTCTTAAATCTGTATACTACTAAGCCAAATGGAACCGACGAGGAAGGGCAGCGCCTGGCTGCATTCGAGACGATTAGGGTTACTTTCAAATAGTTATCTTTAAGATAATATATAAAGAAATTAAATTCAATATTAAATTGTTTCTCTTTTTGCAGACGTATCTTGCAATTGTTAGCAGCGATTTAGTACACGAGCTATTCGATCGCGCATTGTGTAGGTTAAACGAACCTAACATCGATGACTTTTTCAAGGAAAGTGTTCACGATATAATAAGACTATTAATTGAATATACCGATACCCATAGAATAAGGGCTTTCTATGATATTTGCGTACCAGTTCTTAAAACGAATGCCAAGAGTAAGGAACAGAAGAAAGCGTATAGGTGAATCCTTAGAAAATCTGTATCAATTCGAACATTTTATTCAAAGAATTATTTCTTATGGACATTTACAGATTTTTGGAAGAGATATGCGGTAGTGAAAAAGCCACATGTAAAACTTTTGTACAGCAGCACAGACGTGAAATACAGAAGTTATTAATATTGTCGGCAACTGAGGTTGCAAAACCAAGCAGAGCAGTAAGTAGTAAAATCTCATGTACCATTAACAATTAAATAATTTAAATTATGATGAAATTTATTTTCAATTAGGCTCGATTAAGGTGCCTAATTCACATAATCAAAGCTCATCCACAACTCGAGCAAACGAAATTCTTGGAGGCTGTTGTCCCCGAAGCAGTGGTATATTTAAAAGATTTAAACTCAAAATGTCGAACGTGTGCTTATCAACTTTTGAACACTATCGCCGAGAAATTTTTAGGAAACCCCGAGCATTTAAAAGAATATGTCAATATGTTAATGGTTGGCTTGGGTGGTACACAAAAGTATTGTACTGCGTCTGTATTGGCACTTGCATCTGTTACTTATCACTACAATGGTAAGTGTTAACTTCGATGTTTAAGTAAACAAATTGTACAAGTTAAACGGTGGAATTATAAACGTTAACAAATACATTTAAACAGGATCTCTAGGCGTGGACACAGTTAAAGAAATAGTAGACCATGCGTGTAGGCTTGTTGCGAGTCCTACACGAGAGATTACGGAAGCTGCGCTGGCTTACATAAAAGTATACATTAGCGTCATGCCGTCTCCAATTGTTGCTTCAACTTTATCTAAATTGGTAAGTTAGAGAAAGTATTTAAGAATTGCAATATTGGTGAAATGAATTAATTAAATTGCAGATGGAAGCTTTATGTGGGATAAATGACGATTGCCACAGGCATTTCAGACAAAAAGTGCGCGATATTTTAGTAAAATTATTAAGAAAATATGGAGTAGAAACTATCTCGGGTATGATACCTTCTTCCAATGGAATGTTGCATAAGAGATTGAAAAATATAAATAAACTGGAGGAGGCAAAGAAAAAGACTAGAGAACTGAAAAAGTCGAAACAACAGGATGACGAAGAAGATGAGTTCAGTGCGAAGAGAAGACCCAAGAGGTAGCTTTTTATTTGAAAGTGAGATTTTTATTCGATCTTAAATTTTATTTTTATTAAAATATAGCGTCGAAGAAATATTGGCGGATAGCGAAGATGAATTTGAAAGTTCGGAAGATCAAGCGTCAAGGAAGAACCAAAAACGAACGTCACGAAAAGAAGCTTGGATACAAGAGAACGAGGAAATTATCGATCTCATTGACCCCGCGGCTGCTCGAAATATATCAAGTAGGATGACAACATTATAACTGTATCTTAGTATGATAATTATTAAATTATATATTTTTTTTAATTTCTATAGCAACACTACCTGGGGCTTTGAATCCAAAAACACAAACTCTGAAACCCAAGGATCGTGGATTTAAGACTGCGCCAGATGGGCGTCTTATTATCACATTGAATAATGAGAGAGATGACGGAGAAGCGAAGAAAACTAAGAAAATTCCATTCTTGCATAGTGACTCGGAAGATGAGTATGGTACGAAAAAATATATATAAACAACGAAAACAGTACACCTAATAAATTCATTTTCAGAGGACTACGATGACACTCAGTCGATAGCCACAGCCCCAGCGATAAATAAAAAGCGTAAACGAAATATAGATTTCGATAGTGTTAGTGTAAGAAGCGAGGCTACATCGAAATATCAAGGTAAAATATCACTAGTTATGTTTTTATTAATGCCCGATTAATAAAAATGTGTTATCCATAGCTGGAGGGTCAGGAATTCATCGACCGGTAAAGAAAGGAAAGGTAGATCATGCGCTTGGGGCAGAATATAAGGCGCAAAAAGCAGGAGGAGACATTAAGAAGAAAGGCAAACCAGATCCATATGTATACGTACCTCTGTCGAGATCAGTGTTAAACAAGAGGTAAATACTATTCTAAACTTTATTTTAAATGTATTATATTCGACTGTAGCGACTCGTTAATATTATTTTCAGGAAAAGGAAAAGGAATGCTAGCAAGTTCAAAGGTATCGTTAAAGGAGCGCAGAAAGGTGCACAAAAGGGAATGAAGAATAGGAATAAGAATAAAGAATGATTTATTAAGGTATTGCTTAAGTGCGATGAATCAAAATGGAATTATTTGTTCCTAGATGTTTATTACGCTTGTTGCGAATCCTGGTTTTTTTTTTGTTTCATAATGAAAAATGTGTACAAATATGTGAAAGGTTTCAATCTAAGAAATTGTGTATTTACAAAAAATTGAATATAGATTTCTTTTTAATGATCCATACTTAATGTATATTAGTATATTATATTGTTGATAAGTATATGTTTGAGCAAGTAGAATAGTTTTCTAAAATAAAGCAACTTCGCTGTAATGGTGAAAACTTAGCAAGAAACACTTATACATATGTGGGTAATTTAATTTATTACATATTTCAGAGGATGAAATGACCAAAGTTTTTACAACTGATAGAAAATAATTTAAGAGCAACGATATTAAAATAGTCACCAGCCTTCCTTAACATCTGGAAAAAAAATTATCTTATATTTATTAACTAAAGTTCCCTATAATTAAATAATATTTGTTACAATACAAACTGTGAACAGTACTATCATCAACTAACTTTACTTATACATTAACTCTTCTTAGGCAGCATGCTTTCTAATTCTCCAGATTCGCTCATTTCTCTTACGATATCCAAACCACCGATTAATTCTCCGTTCACGTAGAGCTGTGGATACGTCGGCCAATTACTGAACTTCTTAAGTCCTTCTCTGACATCATTGTCTTGCAAAATATCAAACGTTTGATAATCTGTTTTATAGGAATCTAAGAGTGCGACTATTGTTTTAGAAAATCCACAGCGTGGATTGGTAGGATTTCCTTTCATGAATAGCATACAAGGTGCTCGATTTATCAAGTTTTTTAGCCTATCTTCAAGATTCACTTGCGATTTACAGACATCAATTGGAATAGAATTTTTGCTGGCAGAATGGCTCTTTACTTTCTCTGCTATAGCAGAGGGATTAGCTCCATCCACTCTGTCTACTATAGTGCTGTTTCTTGCCAGAATGACTGTTGGTACAGCAGTAATACCAGCTTTCAAAGACACCTCTGGTACCTTCTCAGCCTCAATCTTAGCAAATTTAACTCCCTTACACTCGGGTAGTTTGCTCATTTCGCTGATCACATCATTTATTTGGGAACACTGATCAGCCCATGGTGCATAGAAATGAATAACAGAGAGATCCTGTGACCTAACACAATAAAGAAATGTTTTTGAAACTTGCAGACTTTCCGCATGCTCTATATATACATAAGAATACACATTAAAGCCTTATTATGTTATCACAAAACTATGTCGTAAAAGACTTGTGACTCTTGATCCCAGGGGAATATCCAAACAAAAAGGAAACAAGAAACATCGACGGAGATATGCAAATCTCTTATCTGAATAAAAATATTGATCGACGATTTAGAGATGAAAATAAATATTTTTCAAAATGAAAAGACATTGCATGTTAAACTAGTAAAAGTTTATAATTTTTATACATTACAAGTTTTATCCATGAATGTTAATTATTATTGATTACGAAGAAATACAAAACTGTTGTAAATATCGTAAAAAATAAAATCACTGTTTCGAGGCATTTGGGATTACATGTATACAGCTATATATACGTCAAGCGAAGAAAGATGAGGTTATCGTCTTTCTATAGATCGAACTTTTAAAATATACAACGATTACTCACTTAATGCAATCTTCATATTCTAGCTGGGAACTGAGATCGGTGACAGCCATTCTGTCACAGGAATGTTTTCCTTGTAGAGATTCTTTAAACACACGTTTTTAATGAATAAAAATTCTTGATAGCTCTCCACTTGCTGTTACGGCGTGTACGCGACTTTTAACGTTGCTCTCATGGAGGTTCTGTTAGGTTCTGTACAGTTCTGTATAGCAAGTGCAGAGCTACTGCTTCGGCGCAGATGTTCGCCAAATTTTTACATAGAACGTTTCATGAAGACGAAGTTGAATGTAAACAGAGCTTGTCACATGACTAAAATTGCATTGATCATTGGCTGTTTCGAAAAAGATTAAAAAAAGATTACAAGAATCGAATTTTCGAATGCTGAACAAATTTTTAAATATCAGGTTCATAGATGTTGCTGGTCCATTTTACGCTACTTTTGCGATTTAATTTAAAGGCGCATCTTTAATCATAATGTCTGTAATTCGACTATAGTCAAAGCGTTTATTGTGCTATCTTCATGAAGATAGTCAAGAAACACTTTAATTCAATGAATTAAGTGTAAATGTACACCTGTAGACTGACAAAGAAACAATTCTATTCTTCTCCCACCTTAAGAAAAATGTCTCTATCTATTCTATCATGTTCTATCAGTTCATAGAAAGTTCATAGAACTGATAAAACTTCGTAGAACTATTAAAATAGAATTGGCGTTGGAATGCGTTTGATAACCGATGAAGGAAGAGGAGGATCCACGGTGAGAGTGTCGCTAACGTAGATTTCGTTTGGTGGAACAGGTGCACTGTAAGAAAGTGACCAATCGCAGTCGCGACGAACAGTTGGCCGTGTCGGCTTGCGGAACTGTCTTGATCGCGTGTACGTCATCGTACGAAGGGCTGGGGGGAGAGGAAAGATACGAAGCGGCGAGGGTTGTCAAGACACCTCGCCCAACAAAAACCAGATGCAGATGCGAACCGGGCGGTGAACACGTGCGATCATTTTTTTTAGCGGGCGCGCGAACACGCGGGTGCAATGTTTAAAAAGTTGTCGCAGATCAATGCCCTCGAGGACATCTCCAATTGGACTACCAGTGACGTGTTGTGCCTGCTACGAAAGGTGAGTAAACTCTGGCGACCCTTGACATCGTCCAATGATCTCTCGTCTATCGAAATCTAGATCGAGATAAAAGGAATTCGGAAAAAATTTCGCCAAGATGTTGGATTTCTATTCAGGCTCCATCTAGCCACAGCTGGACAAAATACTTATCATTATACTCATCCAGACGTCGTAAAGTCGTTTTACTTTATCAGTTTAATAATAATTACGATTTGAATTGAATAAATGAGATGAGATTTCACGTTGAGAGAATATAAGTTACTCTGAATAACTGTTCGATCGAATAAATCGCTACAGTGTCTTGTATATTCGTCGTATACAGTTATCCATTATTCGAAATTTTGATTTGTATAAGAATTTGACCATGTCTGCCATCTAGAAACAACAAGTAAATAAATACTTTTTGTCATTAGATTGTGGTGAGTTTATGGGGTGCTGTTACCCTATTGAAATTGATCCTGGGGATGTTTTATCTTGACTGGTGTTTTATTAAGGTTTCAATTACTGTCATCGATTTTCTTTGCTAATTCGATACATGCATGGTTCGAGTCATAGTTTATGTATGGTTGATGCTAAAGGGAAATCGACGTATCGAAATCCGAAATTATTTGCATCGATCGGTAAGGAAACGATCGATGGATGGATCACGCCAGTTATATAGACCCTACAGTGTGGTCACATAATCGGTTAGTACACTCCGCGGACTGGATGTCAAACAATGAGAAATCTGGAATGCCAAGCGCTATGCACGACGCATGTGAACGAACGGTGGTTCACGCGTATATTTTTAGCGAACTATGCAAAGAGATATACGAGGTTCCCGCAACCATGCGTCACTTTCTTCTTCTCCCACCTTAAGAAAAATATCTCTATCTATTCTATTATGTTCTATCAGTTCATAGAACTGATAAAACTTCGTAGAACTATTAAAATAGAATCGTTCAAATAAAAGGATCGCTATATGTCGCTAGATGACTTTATTCTGTTGTTATTGATGTTCCCGAAATTGGGAGCTAAACGAAAACTCTCTATCTGTTTTGTCATACAATTGATAAAATGTAATCGTTCAAACAAAGGGATCGCTGTACAAGGTGTCCCAAAATGTTGTAACACATTGAAAGGGGTGGTTCGGGAGGTGATTTGAAACAACTTTTTCCTTAGCGAAAATGTTGTCCGAGGCTTCGTTGTGGAGATATTAACGGAAAACCCCGACCAATCAGAGCGCGAGTATGCCGGTTGAGCGTACGCTACGCACTAGGCGGCCGCGCTCATACGCTACCGCAGCCGCTCCACCAGTATACTCGCGCTCTGATTGGTCAGTGTTTTCCGTTAATATCTTCTCAACGAAGCCTCGGATAACATTTTCGCTAAGAAAAAAGTTGTTTCAAATCACCTCCCGAATCAACTCTCAAGGTGTTACAACATTTTTGGGACATCCTGTATTTCGCTAGATGACTCTATTCTTTTGTTATCGATGTTCCCGAAATTGGAAGCTAAACGAAAATTGTCATACTTGTCATAATTATAGCCTTCGAAATTATGTCTAATTCTGCTAAATGGTAGCTTCTGAATCTGTCACGCACTGGGAAACATTCTAAAACTCTATTTCTTCAACTTCCAATTTGGAAGGTCGAATTACAATGTTTTGTTATTATTAATTTAGAAACAACGACTAGATTGTTAGTCGTTTTACGCCTATCCCTGAATATGTCCATGTCTGTAACAACTATAAATTCCACCGATATTTGTTGGAGATATGTAATATCCGGCAAATGATCGCATGCACGCGTTATGATTGCTACGCATCCTGTTTGATTACACTAGTATCCTCGTTTTGCAGAACGGCTTGGAGGAATGTTGCAAAGCAATAGCGACGCGACAGATCGACGGGAATGAGTTATTGGTGAGTAAATCGTTTCAAACTAAAGTTCCTCCAACGACTAAATTTTCTTCGCGCTTCGTTGATCGTGAATATCGTTTTCACCGTTCGCGGGTTTGTTGACATCACGGTCTCGCACGTGGTTGCAAACAGACACTGATAGTATCCCGCTGTGTGCATAACAAAGGACGAGCAAAGCGTAATTCGAATAACAGGTAACTATATCATTTTTATACGAGGCTGCGTTTTTTGAAAAATCGACTCTGAAGATGTTCGAGGCGTGTGGAGTACCAGAGCGCGCCTTGAAGAATTTTTGTGGGCGTTTTTCTCGATAACGAAGCCTCGTTTTAAAAATGTCACTCTACATTTTGTATTTACTTTTTAATCCAGAATCTATTTATACAAGGCGATCAACATTGAATGCAATAAAATAATGTCCACAAACGGTGGAAACGTTGAAAGATAATGTAGCGCGTTCCATTCATAACTTGTGGGTCGTATTTCGGCCAAACCGACGCGTGCGCTATTATGCTTCTCTTAATTGATTGTAATTATTCCAGCAATTGACGGAAGGGCAGCTGGCGCTGTGGAAGAGTGACCTCACGCGTCCGTTGATATGGTAAGGAAAACAAAATGCCCTGAGCTGAGGTAAACGTAGCCGCGCTCGACTGCAAAATTTCATTCGTCGATATTTGGTATATTCGCCTTGAGTCGTATCACGTTATGCTAGAGAGTGTGTGTACAGCACGGTCTCGTTCACGAGAAATAGGATTACGAAGTCCGTGTCACGGTCTAACGGTTCCTCTATACGGTCTTGAAGAATCTTCACGAGACACGCCTTCGAATCGCGTGGTCACCTCAATTCCAGCAATTACTCATACGCATGGAAACGCTCAACGTTTTATCCAACTCCAGAACCTCAGGGAACCATCTGAAACCATCCCTAATCGTGGCTCTATCGCTCTGTAAATTAGGCACTCGGTAAAAATAGAAGCTAATTTAAAATTCTTGTTATCTCCAAGAATATAACTCGAATCGTTCGCTGCTTTTCGAAAATATTATTATGTACACTTTGACTTCTTGTTTTATTCATTAATCGAGCTGTAATGTTTAAGATGATTGTCAAGGAATTCTAATGGTAGCTTGTGGCTGTAGAGAAATTTGGCGAGCGACGATGCCTACAGAAAGCACCGCGAGACGCAGTACGCATATCAAAAGACCAGTTCAATGGCTCGCGCAAAGTCGAAATATGCTGTGGCCAGCAATTCCGAAGGCCACGCTGGGCATCCTTAGGTTGTTCGATGCTGGTTATGCCACACGTACGTAATTCTATCGCGTGGGACGAATTCGATCGTTCAACATCGCGCTGACGCCAGGAAATTTATCGTCTTCGTTTATTAAGGAAATTCCACTTGACAATACAGCGATCACATTTGCATGTCACTCGAAACGATAAAGGGATCGAGGTTTCACTTAGGAAAAGATGATCATGAATACCTTTACCGAATGTGTAATCCATTGTTGTAACGCAGACCTCACCAGACTCGTTTATTACCAGATTTATAATTTGACAATGTTGTCGCTTCCGACCAGGAGCCTTTGGGCGTTCATAGAGGAAGTAAGGAAAACACCGGAGAAATTCGTGGAAGAGAAGAATCCTGAATTGCACGGCCACGAGGATCATTTCAGCGACACTGGATCCTGGGGCACCGACTTTGAAGACGACACCAACGAGGAGGTCTTGTCGGAAGACCAAAAAATGCATTTAAACCCTGGTTTCAGAGCTAGCCAAAGGTTGTCTCGAGACGCTGCAGGATCTAAACGAAAAGACACGCGAGTAAGGGCGGCCCCCAACCAAAAGGATGAAGGAACATACGCCAATTGCGACCCAATACAGGATGACGAAAACACCTATGCAAATTGTCAGGAATCGAGGACCGCGGTCGCGAAGAACCCATCCAGATTGCATAGCCAAATCGAGAAGTCCTTGGCTGAGCAGCTCAAGGAGCAATTGCAACTCAGGAATAGCAAGAAACCCATGATTGTACCGAAACCTGAATCCCTCCAAGCTAGGAGGATCGAGGTCACGTCTCCGGGACGCGGCCAGCCGCAGAAATCGTTCTTGCACCATGCTTCGAAGGCGAAAGCGAATGTTCCTAGTCAAACGCAAAGTTAGTGAACTTCCTATAAAGCTATAAATAAATTCCAGCTCCTAAAAAAGGCAAGTAACTGAAAGTAACGATTGAACGTTTCAGAGAGAATGGCCGTGCCTCCGCCACCCGAACCAAAGAAGACTAGAGATCAGACAGTGATCATCGAGAGATCCGTCAAGGATCAAACGAAACCTCCAGCCACTTTGAGGAATCTCGACCTCGTTGCCAATTTACCTTCGCAGACGGAGGAAAGCGAGGACGAATACGAGTCGTTCGACGAACAAATTATTGAGCAGAATCAGAAGAGAAGCATGTTGAGCGCGACTAGCAAGCAATCGCTAACAAGTGGTCGCCAGACTTCTGCTGAAAGCATTTATCAGCCGCCGAGTATTAGCAGTTTTGAGGACGAGGAGTTACAATGCGAAATTTACGAGTCGATTACAGAGACAGTAAGTTATAAAACACTCTAGTATCGATCCAATGATGTTCATATAAAACAATTAAATAATCCTGTACGATTCTTTTAGCCAGATGATAACGGGTACTACTTGAACTCCACCCAGACGTCGTTGAATACAGTATCACCACCACTACTCCTGGCGAAACCTGCCCAATCGTCGGCTAGTCCCTCTCCAACTTCAAGTTGGTCCAGCATGGACAAGTCAAAGGGTTAGTATACTTCTTCGTATCGTTCTTTTGCGACCTGGCGAATCGAATGTTGTACGGGATGATTCGGGATGTATGTTGCAAAAGGTAGAGGAGATATATAAGAGGAATCGTCCTGTAAATGTTTGACAAACCGATTCCCATGATATAATAAAACTGTTACGTTGATGGGAGAAAAGCTGTAAGGAAAAAAAAACGGAAATTAAGCGGAGGACGTTCTATGGGAGAATGCAACGTGTTGCGAGGGTCAGCAAAAAGGTTAGTCTGCGTGAAAATTGAGAAAATAAAAAGGTCCGGTGGCCCAACTTCCCATAAACATCTGTGTGGCAAATGTTTGGCGTTCGTGCAATCTGATGCGCGAATGCAATTGTAGCCAGTCATGAACGAACTATCGTCCCCTTTATTTCGCGTCATTTCGGCGTACATTTAAACGGTCTGTGTAAAATTAAACAGCAAAAAAGAGTAAAACTAAGACATAAATAACACGAGAAATTTGTTCTAAAAATTGATAAGGGGTGTCTTTATCCCTGATCCTGTTAATATATTTGAGATTAATCGAGCGAAATAATACGGCAGGTCAATTAAATATCGTTAAGTTAGTAACGCTGAGTCACGTACCATGAGCACCGACAAAAACAAACGGAACGGTTTAAAATCGTCGATCGAGGATCGGGAAATCATATTCCCTGTCCAAAAGCTGATCGAACGGCCAGGACAGAGAGCCGCTACTTTATCGTCGGGAAACTGAAGCGGAAACAGTGTGATGGAATGTGTTCCTGTTTTTATCTAAGACTGAGCAAACAGCTCGTGGGTGGTCTAGGTGCCCGTTTGGCCGATGAGGTGTCCGATATGATAGTGAGGATCAAGAGGGGACTCTCTAGGTGTTGCTATTCCCAACCGCCCGAGCCACCAGGTACAAACAGTTCTTAAGGTACCCACACACGGTTAATATTAGCATTTCCTTGTGGTGAAAGTGAATTAAAAGTAAAACGTAGTATTAATTGTGTATGAATACCTTTACGTAGCAAACTTCTTGGAAGGCGCCTTTTCTGAAAAAAAAGGTTGTGCTGTTAATGTTTGTTTTGATTTAAATAACAACAGTGGAGTATTTATAGATCTTAAGAAGTAAACAGTAAACGTTTCCAACACCCAAGGGTCCTCTTCAAACACAAATATTATGCAAAATCAAGCTTTTTCGATGAAGTAAAATTAGAAAAATAATACAAATTATAAAAGTGAACATCTTGGAGGAATTATGAAATATTTCTTTAAATTTATACCTCGCAATATTTTCGAAGACTCAAGCGTCTTTCTACTTTGGAAACCACTAGTTTACACGCTTCATCCGGCGGCATTGGTCTCGGGACTGAAACGTAGAATCCCCGACCAAATATTTACCGCACTTTCTTCCTAAATTGGAGGCTTGATAGTGACTCAAACAACCCCCAGAATAAACGCTCTCTGACTAATGTATTTTTACGTTTCGAGAGAAGCCTACGTGCCCCATGCTGAGAGACCAACGGATGGCAATCTTTATAGCTCACGTCGTTCTGAAATTAAATACCAGTCTGTGCAGTGATTTCGCCGCGGTCGGGTCGGTTCGAATCGTTCCTCCAGAAGCCGTACAAGCATCGCGAAGATCCAAGTAGTTTAGAAGCCTTGCAACTCCTATTCATAGTTTAGACTCGTAATTAGAAGATGCAAAAGTCGCTTTAAGATTGTTGTCTGGATAACGTTCCATAGACAATTCGCATCTTTGAATCTGTAAACACTTGATGTTTACTTGCTCAGTTAGAGTTAACCAATGAAGTCGCGAGTCTCATTGAATTGTTTGCTCCGTCTAGACATGAATTAAAGATCACATAATCTTCTGCTTCATATTTTAAACTCAGTACCGAAACGCAAAGCCTCAGATAAAGAGTTTGGCTTGGCCAGCTCGATAGTTTGTATCAGCAGAGTTCACCTAAGGTTTATTCCAATCGTCAGGCGTTATCTGAAGATATCACAAGTAGAGTTCTGTGTTTTGTTTAGTCTCCACGTGGACAGTGCATACATCATCGTTATCTTTAAAATCAATTCTCGCGTAATCTTGCGAGTAAACAAAGCACATTGTTACGTACCGTTCTTATTTGGTGCTATATTTGTGCGTCAGTCAGTAGCTTGATTAGTCACGTAGCGTCTGGTGGGTTGCCAGACGTCTAGTTGGGCGTTCCACTTGCTCCAGAAGTTTCATCATGGACGGAGGAGGATCCGACGATGAGATGCTGGTGCACGTGCTTCTGTTAAACGCGTGAACGTTAGTGTACGATCTTAGTGTTGTGAAAAACGTTGACGAGGAACTTTTAAAAAAAATGGCTACTATAATTGGCGATCCGAAAAGAAACGTGTCCTTGAGCCCCACGATACGGGCAAGTCTCTCCGAGTGTCTGACCCAGGCAACCCTCACGCAAGCTCGGCTGAATCTAGCAAGTTAGTGAAATGAATAGAATATTATGATCTTAGGTGTTCTTTTGTAGAAATTCTAAGGTGGACGAAAGAGTCCTGAGCTCCATTTTTTAAATACAATATACTATAAGTACGTCTAACCATGTTGATTGCAGAACGATCTCCTGAGAAGAAATCAACATTGCCTCATTCTAACAGTAACACCTCGCTATCGTCGGAAAGAGCCACGCGGCCACTGCCACCGCCGCCTGAGAGGCATTCCTATATCGACAAACCTTGGTTCCACAATGTCACGAGGGAGCAGGCGACGGCTCTCATCAAAGAACGTACGTGCTTAATCATTTGGACCTTTACAAGATGCTTTTCAGATTCTTGGAGTAGAATCATAGTTTCATTTAATGTTCAGACTTTGATCAAGCTAACTGCAATGCTGGAATTATAATAGTTTGAGTTGGCATTGTGTGCTTTATTGTCTTGGCAATTATAATTCTATTTATTGTAGAGCAATCACAGTTGACCTACATAAAGCAATACTGGAAGGTCATTGTGATTGCTCTTAAAACGTTGGACTTCTTAAACGATATCTTGCACTTTGCAGAAAATACTTACGGCAACCCGCAAGACGGATACTTCCTCCTAAGACCGTCTACGACAAACGTGAACAATCCTCTGGCGTTGGTCCTTTGGTACAACGACAGAGTTTATAACGTCCCAGTCAGGAAGAGGCCCGATAACAGGTAAAGGAGACAACATTTTTTTCAACATTTCCAACGCGAATGAACGTTGAGCACAGGACTTTACCTGTAATAAAAAAAAAAGAACTGTTTGCTTGATACGTTAGCGAAAGAATAATGGGACATAATTGAGTTTGTCTTGTTGATAGATACGCATTGGGTTCCGCGAAAACAAACGAACAGTCGTTTTCTAGCGTGGAAGAAATCGTGATGTTTTACACCAGAGAAGGACTGGTACTCCACAGCAATGGTGTACAAATGGGAAGCACAAAGTTGACTGACACACCGCCCAAGTAAATTGTGCGACGATGAAGAAGAAGAAGAGCACGTTTCTTAAATTGAGGGATCGCACTATAATACTTAAAACGAGTTTGTGCAATGCAACTACTGCCTAACCAAGAATTCTGAAACAGATTTAAGCTCGGGGAATGCGCATGTATTTATTTCAAAGGTGCCTTTCTATTTGTGAGATTGTTCAAACACCGTGGATGAACGCAAAATTAACACTTTAACGCGTTCGTTTATTTCAGCCAATGACAATTTTTGGGGGCGTTCATCGTATAGCGTTAAAGTATTAATTTCTTATATTTTTACGGTATTCAAATGCATTTTATATAATATATATAATATACATATACATATATTATAGCACGTGTGACTGTGGAAATGTATAATGTATTGCAAAAGGAAATTGATCTCTATTGAAATGAATTGAACGTGTATATTTTGAATACAGAACTTTACAAATTGTATTTTTACTAATGTTAACTCTAAATGTTAAAATCTCAGAAGCATTAAGTGACGGATGTTATTCTCTAAATATTAGTCATTTCATATACATACGAATGTACATGACTCACTCTCTTTGTATTTGTAAATATATTTCTAAAATTTGTAATTGATAATTTCTAAGTAGAATGGTTTTTATACTATGTTTTATCTGATCTATCATGTGTCTAAGTTTAAGGAAATAAATTGTAGTAAATATCGGTGGTGTCATTACTTCCATTGACCCGCGAGTCATCTCAAGGTTACGATTTCTTTGAAATAGCATATACAGATACCATAAGCAAGGTCAAGGGGAATAAAACATCGAGGACAAGATTTCGAGGGTCAAGGTCATGCATATTTTTCAAGCGATTGATTTTTTTTAAATATTTTATTACTTAAAATACACAATCGTTAGCTTCAGAATTATTTCGTAGTAATAAATAATTACGAAATCGATTTCTATCCTGTTGCGATGTGACACGGGCACGCCTATAACACGCCTGCTCGTATGTATCTAAATGTTCAATGATTGATAACGATACCATCGATTAAGCAAACTTCTATCAGCGGCTTTTCGGCCTTCGAGATCCTCAAATTGTTGCGTGTCGAGCTACACGGTCTCAATTAGCGTTAATACAAGTACGTATATATATGTTCACGGCATCTTACATCGCCACGTTATCGTTAAATCGACATTAAATTCGCGAAGTGAACGTGTGTGCGCGTGAACTTTAAACCGATTACTCGACAATTGCCACTCAGTTGTGTGCAACGTGATGAAAGATGTGCAGTGTGTTTGACATTTCTCGATAAGAAAACAATCGATATTAAATCGTTATTCGTTTGAACAGATTTATACGTTGGTTGTACTGGGATAATGCCTGATTACTCTAACAATTATATAATGCGATAATCCGTACGGGAAACAATAAAATTGACGGAGCATAGAGATAGTTACTCGAGTTATCGAAGCATACATCGCAACGACGATTTCCTTGAAAAGAAGAAAAATGAACTACGTGCAAAGTAAAGAATGCCACGCGTATTTCGTGCCGTTTCCCGTAACGGAAACTTGAAATTCGATACTCGAAGATATCGAACAGATGGTGCGATATTTGCAGTGCTGGACGAAGTATCGGCTGGTATTGGCGCAATTTAGTTTTTAGAATACGGATATGTGCCTTGGAGATCAATTGTATTTAATATTTTTAATAGTTAAGAAGAGTGTAATACTAGTTCGTATATTCACAATTATAACGTGTATTCTATGGTTTTAATAACGATACAGAAATTGAATGTACCATCGTCCGGCACTGTACATTTAAGGTTAGATTAGAAACAACATTCGGCATACACCTGTACACACCGTACACTACACTCTTATGTATACTGTAGAGTAAAGCCCAATAAAGACATACGTACATACAGAAAACGTCGAAGACAGCTAGAATAGGGTTCGAGGGGCGCGTTCGGTGGCTTCTCGTCTCCCCAGGTTAAAATTCTACAAAAATTTACTAGATGCCTTCGAGTTGGTTACTTTCGTGACGTCACATTGCTGTTCGCCAGCAATGTGGTGGGAGGGAGTTTGTGACAACGAAACATACGACAGGTTTGTGCGCACGGTGCGCAACGCACCGCTCCGTTAACTGATTGCGACTGATGGACTGAATTGAGCGGTTCATTTAGCTTGTCACTCGAAGCTTTTGAGATAGCATCTCGTGGATCCGGTGCGTTGTACTGAAAATGATACTCAAATTGTAAACAGTCGTGATAGAATTGTCATGTATCGTTCTGTACGTTCGCGAGCAGTGTGATAAACAACGCTGACACGCTGACATGAGTCAGTTGTTGCAGGAGCGTAGTTGTAGGTGGAAATAATGGTGCGTTAAATAAGAATTGTTAATCGCTCGAGATATCGCCGTGGTGAGCAATGGAAGATGAACAACCGGCGAGAGAGGCGAACAAGATCTGCGGTGTCTGCGGCGATCGTGCTCTCGGTTATAATTTCAACGCGGTATCGTGCGAAAGCTGCAAGGCTTTTTTTAGAAGAAACGCTTTAAAGAATAAGGTGATCAATTTTCAAAGTGCTTCACGTGTATGGATCTTATTTCTCGTGTTCTTTCACGTAATCGAATACAGAGAAAGAAATGTCCAAGTATCGCATGAAAAGTTTCCTTTTAATAAACACTAATTTAAGATATTCAATGTTTTTATAGGACTTCAGATGCCCCTTCACAGAGAATTGTAATATTACACCAGTTACTAGACGTTTCTGTCAAAAATGTCGCTTGGACAAGTGCTTTAGTATCGGCATGAGGAAAGAGTATATTATGTCAGAGGAGGACAAAGTATTAAAGAGGCAAAAGATAGAGCAAAATCGTGCAAAGAAGCGACCTCCATTGGATAACGCAAAGTCATCAAAGACGAAGAAAGGTTGCCAGGATGATTGCAACTTTGATGATACCTCCATGTCAATTAACTCTGTTGCATCGTCGGTATCTGATACATATTTTTGGGACCCCGATAAGAAATATACAGATCTAGATGCAAATAGACAAACTGTTACAGAAAGTATGAGTCCTGTAACAGCTGCTAGTGCTCCAAGCCCTTCTAGTCCACCAGAGAATGGAACTATAACTGAATCAAAAACTCTTGAAATGATGAAAGATTCTTCTCATAGTTCTAGTTCTAATTTCAACAATTATGATCACTCTTCTTTGCATCAGGATGAAAATGAAACTGATATGGAAAGATTGAGAGCTAATTCTAATTCTCTTATACAGAGTTCACAGAGCTTTGACAAAGATAAATCTCTGTCTCATAATTTAGAGAATAATAAGAAATTTGTAGTAAGTTCGGCCAAGCTAGAGCAGAATGTTATAGTCTTGAAGTCTGAGTTTGGTTCTACTAATAACAAACCATTAAAATATTCGTCTGAACTTGACAATACCGATAGTTATCATAAATTTGACCAGAGTCCCATGCAAAATTCCACCTACATCAATCATGCATTGCATAGTACAAAAACAAATGCTGACCCAAATTCAGAGGTGCACATGAACTTACAAACTTGTTCAGAAGAGTCAGTAGTTTGTCAAAAACCAAACAAGGAATCGTGTCCAAAGGAAGATAATTTAATTGCCAAATTCATGCAAGATCCGACCCTAGTTACAAAATTACTTAACAATTCCAATTTCATTGCAAAGATATTTCAAAATCAGGACATACTTCTAAAGATCATGACAGATTCAGAGATTGTTAGCAAGTTAGAAGAGGATCCACAAATTTCACAGTTCCTTAACGAGAATAGTGCCATTGCTGAAAGAGAGACAAAGTCTGACAACGATGCAAACATACAATTTAGAGACGATTTGAAGCTTACCAATATTTCGAGTCAGATATCAAATCAAACGTTTAAAGTCAAACAAAGGCATATAGAAAATCCGATCTTGACAGACTTAATCACAAATTCTAATCAAGAGGAATGCATGAAACAATATGTGGAGCCTGCTAGTAATAGTAGTACTAATACTAGTGCTAGTACTAGTAATAATAATGACTGGAGTAAAAATGTAACAGATGTTACTCGAGATGTACTTCAAGACGTACAGAGGTATAGAGCAATTAAACTTTAGGTAAATCAACATTATAAAATATATTGAATATTTGTTCGTTTTTAGGGTACCCATTGTTGCAAATTCCATTGAGTCTATTCTCTGCGAGGCAATTAAATTAGAGTTTTCTGCATATTCTGCTCTTGGTGGTATGGAATCTAGAAAGGAATTGAACGACGCGGAAAGAGCAAAGTTGAACGAATTAATAGTAGCCAATAAAGCGTTATTAGCTCCTTTAGACGAAGACATAACGAATTTAATTGGAGAAGACTGTAAATTTAAGGTAATTCGAAGTAATGCTTGTCGTGCCTCAAGATTAGTCGGTCTGTTTTAGGCATTGATAAAAATCGATTTGTTTCTAGAATAATTTCAGTCAATCCCATCCAGGCCTATTAGATGTTATAAATCTAACTGCCATTGCCATTCGTCGCTTAATAAAAATGGCAAAGAAGATAAATGCTTTCAAAAATATGTGTCAAGAAGATCAAATAGCTCTTTTGAAAGGAGGTTGTACAGAAATGATGATTTTAAGATCTGCTATTAATTATGATGCAGAGAAAGATATGTGGTGGATACCACATAGCCAGGAGAGTATGTCGAATATAAAAGTGGATGTATTAAAAGAAGTAAAAGGAAATCTGTATGCAGAGCATGCAAGGTTCATTAGAAGCTTTGATCCAAGATGGAGGGATGAGAATATTATTTTAATTTTAAGTGCGATCGCTTTATTTACACCCGATAGACCGAAAGTGGTGCATAACGACGTCATCAAACTGGAGCAAGTAAGTGGACTAAAATATTTCTGTAGTTTGAAACTATGATAATATAAACAAATTTTGAATAATGAATTTTTTTCGTAGAATTCTTATTATTATTTGCTCAGACGATATCTGGAAAGTGTATATCCAGGCTGTGAGGCTAAGTCTATGTTTTTAAAGTTAATTCAGAAAATTTCCGATCTTCACAGACTAAACAACGAAGTTGTTGGAGTGTATCTAAATTTAAATCCATCGAGAGTAGAGCCACTTCTTATAGAAATATTTGATTTAAAACATTGATCGATTTTTTTTATCCTTACATGTATTTCAATATACAGAAAAAGAAATGCATATTTCCTTAACAAATTTAAAAAACCTTTATTATGGGTTTGTTTTAGGAATTGTTTTATTTATACAAATATTGTATAGCAATAATTTAAATATTAATACAAAAATTTAACAGCATAAATTTACAATGTTAAAATATGTGGTTGAGAATATATGCATGAATATACATAAACTACTAATGTATATAAAATATATCGTTATATAATTCTAATGTTGATATATAATACTACGAACAAAATTTTCTTCGTACTAAACTTCGCGTACATGGAGGTACACTATAATAATATTTACGTACTCTAATATAGTTTTTTCCTATTTCAAGAGTAAAAACATTTATTGGCAATTATAGAATCTATCTTTGAAAAGGATATTAATTTTATCGTTGAATTGATATATAAAATTTTATAAATAGTAGAGATTGTAGTTCTAAATGAGCGTAAAATATCGTATCGCTTCGTGTAATTTTCTTCGCGTACCTAGAATAAACACGTATTAGCATAATAATTCTTATATGATTGTTGAAAACATTATGTATATTTTGTCGAGAGTACCTTAAACTGTTACGTCTGAAGAAAATATTTGTTATACTTATGCCAAGTTCTGTGTTCATATTCGACCTGTTAATATGTGCAAAAAGAAAACATTTGTTTGTTTTAAAACAAATTAAGAATTTCTCAGTGATAAAAAAACGAACATGAATTCAGTCCTTGGTATAAAAATTGTGAAACATCACCGCTCCGAATATACGAATGAAAATGCGGGACATGGCCTGCATAGCGTGCGTCCACGTTACGATGGTTAAAATGTACACAATTGTGATATCGTGTCGAAATATATTTTTCAAAGACTTGTTACATTTGACTTCGAATAGATAATTTCATTGCCTCTTTAAATTTACTTTCTATTTATTTGATAAGAGCCAGAAGAATTAAAAAGAAATACCTTCATTTATATCATTCATCTTCGATGCTTGAGAAATTATAACCAAGCAGATACAGGATTACGAACAGCACGAGGCACGAAGATGAAATGAAAAATACCAAGCTGACGAGGATGATAAAAGCATATCCTAGAGTTCCAAGAACGAATGAAAAACCCCAGATCATCCAGTCCCAAATTGTTTTTAATATCATTATAAAATTTATTTAAAGAAGCTTCATGTTTAGACTTCAATTTTTATTATTAGATTAATTATCGAAATAATTGATCGTGATTATCAACTGTTATTACCATAACAAGATTTTATTACTTCAAGTTACTATAATATAATTATAATAAATAGGTATGTAGTAGTATTTAATATTGTATAAAAAAATATTTTTTATTGTAAATATACGCTCTTTGTAGGAAACCATTTGTTTTCATCTTCTTGAAAGACGATTACGATGGATAAAGTTGTATCTGCTAATTTTTAAAAGTTTGCATTATAATTTTAGAAATTGTATGCATAACGCCTGATTAAAATTTTCTTTGGTGCTATTTGCACGATACTAATTGCACCTCCGATTCTATCTTAATTGTGGGTTTTACATAATTTTCGCGCTTGTAATGATATAGTACATTAATATTCTTTTCATAAGGTTTCGTGAATATCCAGTCGATTTTTTCCGCGGCGAGATAACCAGCGCCTATGGCAGACGACGCCGTTAATCGAAGCAAAGTTAGTTCATCTATGGCGTGCGAATCATGAATTTCTTCCAGGAAAGCATCCTTCATAAATCCCCATGATTTCCAGACGGAGCCCACGCAAACAACATTCAATCCACCTTCGTGTAACTTGATATCCTACAAAACAACAATATTTTACGAATCACACGCATCAAATTAAACATACGGAATCGAAGTAGACGACGTACATTGCCAGCCTTCCTGGCAAGAGCGACGATATGTTTCGCGAGAAGCACTCCATTTTCTCTTAAAATGTGCAAACAAAGAGGGTCCTTCTTTTCGCAACCATTCACGACCTCCATGGCGAAACTGGCGAACTTGCTTTTGTCGAAATTCGTGTACAAATACGGTAACATATCCTTCCTATCCGATATGTTGAAGAATATCCTGAGAGCGGGATACGCGTAGCTTATTGGTTCCGGGGCCTGGCACAAACCGTCGATGTCGTCGAAGATGTACTTGCAGGCTCGATGGGCGATCCAGTAAGCTGAAAGTTTGATTATAATTTTAGAAATTGTATTTGCTATTAGCACGCTACTAATTGCACCTCCGATTCTATCTTAATTTTTTTGAAAGGGTGCGCAGGAGCCAGAGCCAACTCCGAGTTGACTTCAGCGACA